TTCTGATAAAACACAATGATGTTAATAATAAAACCCATTTACTGTTAGAAATCACCTGAAAAGGGGTGTAAGCGGATCAGGCTCATATCCCACTCCAAATCTGCCCGTATTATAAATGACCAATGACCAATTATAAGCACCTCAAGAATGCTGCTTCCTCTATTCATGTAGTACTCTAACTAAGCCAGTCACAGGAGTATTTATAGGTTTACATAAACGGGACTTCCAAAATGTTTTTTTAATAATGAGCAGCATCTCCTACCCTGGGATGTAAATAATATAATATGTGGTCTGGGCTGACAGATGAACACAATTTATTAATTTACTCAAGTTCTATTAAAGGTGGACTCGTCCTTCATTATGAGGATAAAAAGTGAATTTAACATGTGATCTGTCACATATTAAAAAGGCTTTATTTGCAGACTAATTTATATAATTTACACGTGGAGATAATGAAGTTGTCAGCTCAGGCGACTGAAACTGCGAGCAACAGACACCAAGGTGTGTGCAGAGCGCTCTGTGATTTACGCACACTGTACAGTTATTATTACTTTCATTTTTAGTCCAGCTTCAATTAACCTTTTCTGCAAAAAGTGTCTGCACAGGGGTTAAAACAAAAAAAAGAAAATGTGCCTTTATGCCCAAACATTTATCCTTTCAAAAACATTTAATATAGCCAGTTTACAGTTAGTTATTCATAAAGAGAAACAATCAAAAACAATGTCATCGGTTTCTGTCATGATCAGGTCGTCTCTATGGCTACGAAGGGAAGACCCAAATAGCCAAGTTTCTGTTGGTGAATGAAATAAACCAAGCAAGCTTGCAATATTACAGGCTGTGTCTGATATCACTCCAGAATTAGCTTCATGATTTTGCCCTTTTTAAACATGAATGAAGAGATACAACTTGCTGCTAAAAATCTCACCGCACACCCATAAACACAAAGTCTTAGTCCACATGAAGCCACAGTCTCTGGTGTTAGGGGCCTTTGCAGTCAAGGAGAAGATAACTTGTGCCACGATTCATCCATGTTACATTATTTTTCCACCATCAGAATTTTAGAGCAATAATAGAAATAAACGTGACACTGCCAATTTCTTTTGTTTGTTTGTTTTTATTTTATTTTAAGCCTCTTTAGGGAAACCGTGCAGTGGAACTGAAGTCGATCAACAGCTTTTAGTTTAATTAGGGCCCTTTTTCTGTGGATGACATTTTTGCAACATCAAGAAGAGGCTTAATCACAAATACAGCGTGTTGAACAAAGCCAGGAGAGACTAGTTAATGAGATACAGACATGTACAGATGAAAGGAAGGACAGAGAAATCCAGATGGTGATTGTTCTTTAGATGACCGGCTCAGTCTGGAAAAGCAAATACTTCAAATTGAAGAGCTCAAATGACCTACACGGTGGGAAAACTCATTGTGATCGATGGGCAGCCATGAGGCACATTTTAGAGTCTTTCCAAACAATTATGAAAGCACTGAAATAATATGAAGTCGGCAACTGAAGTTAAGTAGTTAAAGTCCACACTATAAGAATATGGACAAGTTTGAGTTTGCACACCACATTTAACGTTTAACTGTAATGGCCACACATGTATATCTAACTGTTCTGACACATGAGGGATGGAGCTGTCTTATGGTTATCCAAGCTCCTGATCATCGATGATTCTGATGGATTAAGAGAATGTAGAATAAATATATCAATATCTAAAACTTTACACTGATGTAGCCCCTAATCTATCCATTTACACCTGACAGTAATCATTTCAGGTGCAGTCAATAACTAATCAAAGCCACTTGTGATCAACATCTCACAAGCTGACAGAGATACATGTACATCTACGCGCCATATGCCATTCTGACTGACCGCTGCTTTTTCCTCTTGACTCTGCGAGGCTATTGCTGGGTTTTAAAGCAGATACTTGGCAGCGATAAATCCCTCAACTCCGCTCTTCAGCAAGGCTATGAATTTTGATGTGTCTTTGTGTGTGGCAGACATGAGAGCAGAGTGGAGAGCGAAAAAGCGTGGGGTTAGAGTGATTAACCAGTGCGTTGATGGGGATTTAGTGAGGATCGTGGTTAGTGATGGGTGGCCTATCTCTCTGTACGCTCTGACTAACCACTGATCCCCAAGAGGGTTCAGCTCAGCTCAGCTCAGCTCAGCAGCCCAAAGCATTTTCATTAAGGATGGATTGAGTCTATCTCAACATTCCCCCAACACACACCTTCAGAAACACTTCATCAAATGTAGTGTTTTGCTTAGTGATTAGCCTCTCCCAGGCTATGAGAGAGTGAGACTGATTCCTCTGTTTAAAAACCCCTTCAGTCAAACCTGCCCTACTCTAATATACCCTTAATGAAGTAGGCTTTTTCTACTACGAGGACACAAATACTAGATTGCTTTTCAAATGGAAGCGAAAGAGCAAGGGATGGGATTGTCGGATAGATGGAAGAGGGGACGGTGTAATTGTGCACATATGCTACTGTGTAATGAAACCGTGAAAAGCAGCTTGTTTTGGCCTGTCATCTCGGATGTTTGTGACAAAACAGGACAAACACAGAACAGATCAAATAGCTTCTGCTTTCGTGCAACATCTTTGCACATATCCAGCTTCTCCAAAGCCATTTTAACCACAGCACAGTTGGCAGGCTAAATCAAGCTCACCCAGAATAAAACAAAATACAGTGGAAATGAATACTATTCTGCCCTCATGCTGTTTAGAGCACAGTGGTACAGTACTGTGTGTGAACACCAGAGAGACATCAGCCATATTGTGCTGGCTTAGGAGAGGAGATCAGCTGGGAAACAGGCAAAATGCCAAGCTTCTCTTTAGATTTTTTTTTTCCTTTTTTTTTTTTTTCCCCTTTTTTCTTTCCTTTTTTTTTTTCCCCCAAATTCCCTTTTGTTTTTTTTTTTCTTTCTTCCCGCACAGCCTTTTTTCGTCCAACTTTCTCTTGTGCTCCACGCTGCTTTTTAAGACCATGTCCTTCATTTTGTGGCCCTGCTATCATCTTTTTCACCCTCCCTCTTTGTGTGCCTGGTGATCTGAACCCCCAGAACATCTTGCTGTGTCCTCACAGTCTAATAAGGCTGTAATCCACACAAGCTGTCCGTTGATACAAGCATCCTTAAAAGGACAAAAGCTGAAAAACAAGGGGGAAAGTGGACAGCTAAAAATAAAGCCTCAGCTGTCGGGGTGAAAATTTGATGATGGTTTTGATAACTAATATCAGTGTCGCTATCAAGCCACATCCACGGTACATACATTAAACATCACCATCATCAATGACTTTTTTTTTTTAGAAAGAAATGTAATTTTACGGTTTATGGAAAGTAAGGCATAGATTATCGTCATGCCTTCTGCACACACTAATCATTTACTCAGTTACTCTTAGCACACTGTGTCTAACAAGTTTTGTTCATGCTGATATTCCAATTGTTCAAGTTTCAAGAAATACTCAATAAAAGTCTTGAGCCACTTTTTATTTCTTTATACTTTGGTAGGAAAATGTGAAATCTGTCTGGCAATATGTCAAAATGTGCAAAAATACAGTGTATAACAAAATGCACTCTCCTAATAAATCTTGTTTGGAATGTAATGCTCAGTAATAGTTCTACAGGCTTTGCCTTTTGTTCCGTTCTCTGTCAAGATGATCCCACGCTGCTTTGATAATTGTTGTGGTCTGGGCTCTGGGGAGGCCAATCCATGTTTGATAGTGTTCCACTATGCATTTTTCTTTTTCATCAAGGTTTGCTGTTACTGCATTGGCAGTGTGTTTGGGATCATTGTCATGCCGTTGCCAATCAGACGCTTTCCAGATGGTACTGCATGGTGGACAAGGAACGATCCCTAACACGACGAACTGAAATGCAGCTGCAAACCACGACAGAGCTCCCAGCGAGCTATAGAGACTCATTGTTTTCTCTCTCTCTGACCACCTCCAGACAGATTAACGATTATTTAAACCAAATGTAAAATTTGGATTCATCCCTATAAGACCTCTTGCCACTGAATATTCATCCAGTTCTTGGCACACCTCAGGGTTTTTTCTCTGTTTCCATTCCTTAAGAATGGCTTTTTAACAGCCACACATCCACCGAGACCATTTCTGATAAGGCTTCAGCATATGGATCAACTGAAGTTCCAGATACATCCCTCGTATAGATAGTTATTTTCAGGCTTACCGCTTTGTCTATTGGCCTCCACTTGTCCAGGCCCAAAAGCCAGTTTGGAAACACCTTGTTAGTGTAAAGATGCTGTTTATGCTCATCAAATTGTGGTACTTTTGACATGTTTCATAAATTCAGCTAAACAAATGGGAACACATTACATGCTTTTTGCAACAAGCTGCTAGTAACAAAGTGCTTAAAAGCATAATTTCATATTGGTTATTTGCCCAGTTGTCCGTTATGTGTAGACACATCACTGGTTCATCCCTTAAGTTGGGTGCCTTTTGTGGTTGAATGATTTCTAGGTCACTGTTGAGCAGTTTAACAAAAAACAAAAAAAACAAAACCAAAAACATTTCTCTATAAATGGTCAAGTATAAGGACTGGACTGAAAACGAGCCAATGGCCAAAGAAAAACCGAGGAGACCTTAATAGAGAACCTGGGGAACTATTGGTCAAGACCACTTTAAAGACTTATGATGAAGTCTGGCTTCTTGGAAACAAAATATAAAGAGAGGAAATAATTAGAGATGAAAATATTACCAGGTCTCCATTACCTCTATTATAGATGACTGAAACACCGGGGGGACCGAGCTTTTGCTGTTGTGGCCCCCAAAATATGGAATAAACTGCCCCTCCATATTAGGTTGGCCCCAACACTTGAAATGTTTAAATCGCTTTTAAAAACGCACTTTTTTTCAAAGGCTTTTTAGGAGTAGTACCAGAGTCAGTTTGTAGTCAGCTGTTGCTCTTAATCTTTTTTATTTTGTTAATTTTATTCATTGTATATTTTATTGTCTATTTTACTCATGTTTTAATATTTAATATATATATACTGATTTATTTTTATCATTTTCATTTATGTATTTATTTTACTGTTATTTATATTTATTTCTTTGTCTGCTTAGTGTATGGTTTTTAACTTTTATCTGTTTTATTATTGGAAAGCACTCTGGTCAACTGTGTTGTTTTAAAGTGCTATATAAATAAAGTTGGGTTGGATTGGATTGGTTTTACTGGCATTAAGCCTAAAACTAAATGATGTATATTTAAAGTTGTGTCTCATGAGATCTCCATAGATATCATTCTACATAAGCAGACTGAATTATGTGTGCAACAGACCAGCAGCACGGCGTCAGTGATCTCTGATTACCCTATGCATCCATCTATACAATGTATAAGTTTGTGGTAACCAGATTCATCTAGCTTTCCCCAACTTAACAAGGAACTCTAACCCAAATGTAAAAAATGTAGGCCAGGTGAATAAAGTTCCTGATTATATTAGCGTTTTAAATTTCCCCCAGCCCAGTAACAAAAGAGAAGTTATGAGAAATAAAGTATCTCCCTTGACAGAATTAATAATATCCTTCTCTGTTTGTGTTCCTTTGTCATGTTATCTTAAGCAGAGAAAACTCAAACCTGAAAAAAGCGACTCTTCCATGAAGCAGAAATGACATCAGTGATAAAGGACAGGCCATCATTTGTAACATCAGTACCTCGTATCACTTGCACAGCCCAAATTAAAAGGGATAAGAATATGAAGCTTCAAAGAAAAACACAAGTTTTTCAGAGTATATTAAAAATGGGCCTGTGAGACCCAAAATAGTCCAAAAGGTTACTTACATCTCTGGCTTTGCCATGGAAGGCCTCTTGAGATGCTGCCTCCAAAGACCCAATAAAGAACATTGGATGGGTCTCTCCATATCTACAGGACACACACAAACACAAACACACACACACACACACACACACACACACACACACATACACACACACACACACACACACACGACTCTTATTTAAAACATTGTTACTATGTTTTGTCAGGTTTCAAAGCCATTTTAAATTGAGCATAACAACCGCTCACCTCGAAGAAAATTCAGAAGTAAAGTGAATTAAGGCATCAGTTTCATTTTCACTATTCTCTGGCACTGCAAAAGGGACAAAAATAATTATATGGTCAGGCTTTACATGCTGTATCTGGAGGTTAATACTACAGTGGCTGCTATAACTGAGTTCTACAAGTGGTTCACATTACGTACTCATAGGTGATTTCCTACAGCTCGAGGAGCCCACTCCAAACATCTCTGAATCATCCACACCAAATTCTGATGCGTCTTCATAATCATCACCCTCACTGTCGCTGATCATATGGACATCTGCACACTGTAAATAAGAAGCATTTCATGAGCATGTCTGATGCTTGAAAGTTGCCTAGGGGATGAAATGCATAACTCAGAAGTGTGCGGTGGCATACGTAGGTCAATTTACCTCTTCTGTGGGTTCCTGGGCATTAGCTGGCGAGGACCTTCGACAAACACTCAGGTGATGGCAGGGATAGCTGATTCCAGAAAGAGCTAGTGTCATCTAAAACAAACAAACAAAGGAAACAGAACAAAAGAATGAAGCCAACAATTAAGAATGACTGCCGACCGTGTGCGTTTACTCAACACAATATAATAATGTCATCAAGTTTAAGTATGTGTTGGTATCTACTGCTTATGACTTGCCTAAAACTGATGCCTAAACCAAAACAAGGCAAACTTCACCACTGAATCTGTAGTTGTGCCTTACATTTGTTTGCCTTTTTCCCCAGGCAGCAGAAGCATAACCTGTATCATGACATACTTTGTATTTTCAAACAAAGGCTTGATCATCTCTCTAATGAGGCGTGACCACAATGAGGTTTCTGTACACCTGCAGGATCCATAAGTGCAGTGGTGGTCTATAGTAGAAGGTAACCTGACTAATGAGCTCCCAAATCCAAAACCAGGACTGAAAATGTGAGCATTCAGCAGGGACTCATTACAGGAGTCTCCTGGCTCAGACCCCAAGGGATATCAGCAATAGAGACAAGGCTGTTGCAGAATGAAACTAAAGTTGTCTTGCTTTTAGATCTTAGATCTTCCAATCTGAATATACTGAGACTTAATAATAACACAACATTATATTCAGTGGCACCTGAACTGAAAACCCACATGCAAATACTGTTCTGGTAGAGAGAACAACAGCACTGAGGCAGGGTAGGTAAGCTTGGTGTGATAAGAGCCAGAGGAGCTGCTCATCCCCTGCAGAGGTCCTCTTATCTGCTCCATTGTCGAGTGCTGAGACACACAAAGAGCAGCTGGACATGGCTGAATCAAGAGACGCTTACACGCAACACCAATTGAGTCTGAAAAGAGCTACACGGGCTGAATGGAGTTTTCCTCTCTGTGTCTCTCCTAAATTAAAAGTACTTCCTCGTGCTGGTGTCAGCTCTCTAGAGCAGGAGAGAGCAGTGTAACCAGTAGACCTTATCACAAACACGGACTTATAAGTGTATCTCTGTTTGCCTGGCACTGATAAGAACTGTGCTGTCACGTCGCACTTAATTATCTTTTGACTGTTAGAAAGTAAGTGCGCTGCACACAAAAGAACCAAATATTTATACAAAACTATTTGCACAGTTGTGGACTAGTTGAGTCAGTGTAGGCGCTGCTGGGGTTGGGCAGTATTGCGATACTCATCCTGAGATTAGTTTGAACATTTTAATTGCTTTTTATGCTGCGGTTTTGTATTTTACGTAGAATCCACAGTGCTTCACCATATAACAAATCAACAAAAGGGCTTTTTTGTTAGCAATTACACAAGATAACCAAATTATTTTCTACAGTAAAGAACAAGGTAGAAATTATTATTTAAGAAAAATTTGCATAGATACTGATCAAGAAATCATGAGAAGCTGTGTCCATATCCCCCAAATCTACCTCAACTATACTCTTTGTCCCTTTGCAATCACATTTACAACATATACAGAAATAAAATGATAGCATTTATTTACATATTGGGGTTTTTTTCCTCCTAAAAAGAGCAAGTGAACTCGGTCTCACTCTTGGGAGCTGAAAAAACATTTATTGCACCATTTCAAATAGTTGACAGAGGATATACTAAAACTGGCTATAATATTGGCGTTTCAAATTCCCACCAGTCGAGCAACGATTGACTGAAGGGATATTTCACCGAGTATCTCCCCTGACAATATGAGAAAGAATAACATCTTGATGAGTATTCCTCCTCTGTGTTGTCTTAAGCGCAGAAATCTGCTCCAAAAAGCAGTGGCTAGACTCTCAAGCAATATTGAAACAAAACAAACCAAGAATGACATCACCTCTAAAGGGACAAATCCACCGTGGAGCTTTGTTTGCAAGAGCACATCATATAACACTAACTAAAAAGGCTAAATGTTTTGGGGCAAAAATATTTGACTGTCCTTTTCTTTGTGAATTTATGTTTTTTTCCCTTTGGGGCCAAGAACAGATGAATGTTCCCAGACAAAAGGAAAACCAAACAGCCAAGCGCATACAGACGAGAGAAGAGACCGACTGTACTTCCTGCACATTACCAATTAGTAGCAAGTGTACTATTGTCAATAAAAAGCACACAAGTGTCACAGCAAGGACAGCTGATCCAGCCAACCCTAACATAAGGAACACCTACGAAGAACACTTAACTGAATTGCCTCGTCTGTGCTCAAGTAACTCAACTCTAACTTATTTACTTCTTTTATTTCATTAGATCTATCAGTCATTCTAATCAGAAACCAGAACATCACAAAAGAATTTACTGAAAAAGTGGGAAAAAAAATTAAGCGATGTAGAAACGCAATTTGCTTTTTCAAAACCAGCAACACGCTTAATGAAAAGCTACGACCACTGAAGACGTTATGGGTGCCAGGTCTGTGAGCTGAATTAACACTGACGTTATTGAGCTAAAGATGCACAGGTTCTGAACTTTAAGGACGTGAAGGAATGGCCCCGTCTCTTCGCTGCCTATGAGTGGCAATCAAACGTGAGAATTTTAACACAGACTGGCAAGCAGAGCCCCATAAACCCTTTACCCCCGCCACTCACAATGAGAGGGTTTTGTCTGAGCACCTAATAAGTGTATAAATAAAGTTGATCACTTCCCCTGTCAAAGACAGCCTGGAGGGTTTGGGCTGACATGGATGCAACCAGGGGAGGTGAAAAGGGGGGAAAAGGAGAAAAAAAAAAGAGAGAGATGAGTGCCTCTCAGTCCTCTTCCTCACATTGACCCAATGGCTTCTCCCGATGTTGAGGTACACAAGTGCAGCTTGACGGCTCAGTGGTGAAACGTGGAAACAAGGTTGAAGCGCCGCAGGGCACAGGGTCTGAGGGGATGAGGTTAACCCCCAAAATGACCCTCTCCCACATCTCCACACAAAAGGAACTGGCTCCTCTTTTTTGGATTCTTTTAATTAACACTTTCATTGAGGCTCTAAGCATTCAGGGGCTGATACAGGGGAAGAATTTTCTCTTTCCCTCACACCCCCCCTCCCTCCTTTTGCTTTCTCAGTCAACCTTTTTTTTGTCCCTCTACTCTATCCTCCCTTTTCCTCCCTTCATTCTTTCTGTGTTTCATTTTTTTTTCTTTTCCAGTGTAGGCAGTGTTTGGATTAGGTGTCTGGCTGTGAGTATGAGATAATTACCACTGACAGCTGCACTGAAGGCAACCAAAACCTCATCATACCACCTTACTCTACTATGTCATTTTTAGAGCAAGAGAAGAACAGAGAGAAAGAAAAGAGGAAGTTTAAAAAGAAAGGAGATAGAAGACTTAAACTCCACCTTTAAGATTTATTAAGATATTTAATAAATGACATTGTTTCTAGGCTGAGATGCAATAGGAAGATATACAGCGTGACCATGGTCAGGACAAAAGGATCCTATTCTTCAAATAAAAGGTTCAGTGAGATGGGAGCATAACACCAAGAAACAAAAAGAAAACAGATACAGACAGACTAAGTCAGCACTGAATTTCACCTGAAGAAGGCCAATTTCATGACGAAGGGGGGGTGGCTCTGCCTGACTTTACTGCTGAGCCCTGATGCTATGGAAACCACAAGCTGTCCCCCCACCTGTCAATAACTGGTTTCATAGGCCCCAATCAGGTAGAGGAAGATTCCAGTAATGCCAGCTGGGAAATGGAGGGAGGTGCTGCCCTACAAGCCACGGCACCTCAGAGGCTCTGTGGCATTAATACATTAGCAAACACCATGAAACACTGCATAAATGTCAGCAATTACAGGCTAGAAGAAAGGGTGGGTGGTGGTGGAGGGGTGCAGAGATGGGGGGGACGTAATAAGGATGTCCCACTGGCTGTCAATCACTCCAACAGGTATGGGAGGAAGGACGGCCAATCAGAGCTGCTCCAATGAGATGAAGCCTGTGCAGAGACTCTCTGTGCTGAAATGCTAAGGGCAAAGTCTCAGAGAAGGCGAGGACAGAGGTTCAACCGTTATATTTGCAATAGCAAAGCAAGTTAATTTCCATCATCAGTATTATATTCAGAACAGCTTTGTCAATGCCACACAAGCGAGAAAAAATTGAAAGGCAGTACGACCATAATATTTCCAAATGATGCCAGAGTAAGCGTTTTGCTCTACTTGGAGAAAATAATTTTTTTAAATCAAATTTAAACTATAGCAAAGTCCAACACACTTTTTCTCTGACTGAGAACTTTTTCCAGTTCCGTCAAGATGTCTGTGATGCAGTAAACCCAAAGAAAATTCAAGCAAATGCTAAAATAAACAGTCACAAAAACCATTTGTTTTGCCCACATGGATCTCTACTACTAGTAAATATTACAAACTGGATTCTAATGAATCTATAAGAACATTGTAATCATGGCACCCAAAACAATGTTCAAGAAACAAACATTTAAATTGCTCATCATGAACAGCTGCACATTTGTCAACCAAATGTGCTCTGGGTAAATGTCACACTGGGGACATTAAATTATTTATGGAATATTAAGAAGCGATACAGAAGACTGGGAAAATGTTTTATATGCTTTGAATAGCAATGTGTTCACATTGGCAGTCGTGTTTGATGGTGAATTTGAATTACTTAGGAATAAAATGTACAGCAGTTAAAGCAATGTGACTTTTACTACCTTATCTATCTATCTATACATATCTAGACAGACAGACAGATAGAGATATTTATTTATTTATTTATATATAGATAGATATTTCTTTATAGATATATTACTGCTACTATGTCCCATTTACTACATTTAATACTGAATTTATGACGATATAAAAACGTCTATCGTTTCATTTTACGCTATCGTTTGTTTCGTGGTGTCGCAAAATAAACTGTTTACGACAATATTTTTTCATCGTTTTGATGGTCACTGTAGTGGCTATATTAATTTCTTAAAGTTCTCTCTTTCTCTTATATTTAATATAACCACACTATGGACGGACAAGCGCCTGTTTTTATGCGTTTTGGTTAGCAACAACGACGGTAACGGCATCGCGTGTCCGCTTGTTTATGTTCCACATAAACCTTTCACAATAAAGCTCAAGATCCTGTTGAGACTTTTCAAAATAAACTGAATCACGTGAAAGAGCAGATTATTTACAGATGAGAATTAAAAAAAGAGCCGCCAGGTGCTAAAAAATAAACCTTAGACTCAAACGTTAGAACAGGCTTTCCTCCGCAGCACGCCGTGTAATAAATACTTACAAAGAAAACGGCGGCCGTTACAACTTATGTCTAAAAATGTATCGTGACATGCATCAGTTAAAACACTCGACTCCAGCTACATGACGCGCAGCTGGAAAAACTTCCCGCAAGTTGAGCTGCCTGAGATTCACAGAATTTACAGAAAATGTTACATTTTTGTGATTTATATCGTTATCGGACGATAGAATTCTTATATCGGGATATGAGATTTTGGTCATATCGCACAGCCCTACTAAATTCCTTTATTCTAAGAGCCCATAGCAAAAACAATAACAATAGACTGAATAAACTAATCTGTGATTCATTGCCATGAAACCATTATGCATCCTGATCCAATTTCCGATGACCATCAGACCTTGAATTTCAATGAAACGTGCTGAGTGAACAATATCAGGGGCTGACACATCACGTAACCACTAGTTTTCTGGAAAGGTGAGAATTTCTTTCTAACAAACCATCTCCTATACTCCAACAATACATGACATAATTACACTAACATTACACCAACTCAAATAACTTTCTCACAGCACAAGAATAACTGAGAGAAGAAACTGATATTCTGAGCAGTTGATCAACTAGATGAACTATGATATATATATAAACATAAATGTGCTCTAGATGACTACCGTATGAAAGCAACTATACAGCTAAAGCAAAGGCAATTTCCCCAACACTGTCACAGTCAGCATGTGAATTCCTGCTAATCCAATTACAAATTTTCTGTATCAGTACTAAATATGTTATACCTTTTCTTAAACAATGTATAATTATTTTAGTACTTCAATCAACAGTTTATTTAAATAAAACAAAATTTGCAATATTGGGAAAAAAACCAAACAAACAAAAGACAAAAAAACAAGTAAAAAGTACTAATAATTTGACCAAGAATTCAAGTGAAAAATATGAATTTTCAAAGCCAAAGGAAATGTTTTTTCTAAAGACACAGTTCGGTTGGATCAGTATTGGGGTTCGATAGCCCAAGACACAGTGTGTACAACAAGAAAGGCACATTTGCAAATACACAAATGCAAATATGCACACACAAATAATAACTGCACAGGTGAACGCATTGGTATCGCACAAGACAGAAGAGTTGAGTAGCAATCGATTCCACCGCAAGCAGGATAGTGCGTGGAGCTAAATGCAATCTTGGGCCTCTGACTGCCATCTTTATTGGCCCAAGCCCCGGGAGATGAGACTGGGCTAATGAGCTAGACACTAACACTGGCTCCCTACCCGACTGCTAGGCCAGCCAAGCCCTTGGCTTTCTCTGTTAATACCTTCAGACGTTTCAATAAGAGGGCTATAGCTAGTGCAGAGGCCATTATTGCACTTCTGTCTCTTCTCTATACTTTTTAATATCACTTCATCCAAGGAAACACAGACACTGCGGATGTGTGCTAGTCAAAGGCTAACCGGGCCTATGATAATCTATTCGCAATCGCTGGCCGTTATATATACAGCTGAGTGTGACAAGCTGAGGCCCGCTGAAAACCAGAATACGGAGAACAAAAGTGCAAATATAAAAAACACAATTATCAAGTGTTTTTCTTACATATCTTACATTTAAACTGAAATTAGTAGGTACAGCTTACTGGTTTGGAATTGGAAAATGAGTGTGCATGGCTAGATAGTAGTAGTTAGGTCAATAGTGCATGAAATGCAATGATTATACTTTAAAATGTTCAGAGCCCGTCTAAGTATTTTCAAATGATTAATTGCTATGGAACATACCATGAGAGGAGTCCTTACTGTGATGATTCCTGCATGTCATTTCCCTCTGCTCTTTCTCTATATTTCCCAACTTTTTACCAATTTACCCAAGAAAATAATAATCTAATTTTAATAGATGAAAAACAGTGATTCCTTTTTTTTGTGGTTGGCTGAATATACAGTACATAGACAAATGTACATTTCCAGTAAGTTGTGAATTATTTGAAAGTTTGCTGGTATAAATTTGAAAACAAAAACGCATAATTTCCCTCAAAACACTGATATGTTGCTTCTGTATTATTTTCAATGAGTTTTACAGTTTTAATTATTTATAAATTACTGCACTGTGTTTTTATTTACATTTTACAAAATGCCCTCCTTCCTTGTTTTAAAAAAAACTTTGATTTTGGAAAATGTCAGCACTCTTCCTATTAGTGCATAATGTGGCTCCGACTCTGAAAAGTAAATAATTTGGTGGAATAATACCAAACATTTCCACTCAAGACTGAGGTCAGTCATTGCGCCACATGTCCAAAATGTGCTTTCAGATTTGCAGTAAGATTTGTATTTCCTTTGCAATCCCGGGCTGTTTACTGATCGCATAATTTCAAGTCTCCAAAGATAATGCTAACAATGGAAAATCTGCATCGTAGCCCTATGGTTTGTTTGGTGGTTACTGGATTTACAATTGGCTGCTCTGAGCTGTCATGGAACAAAATACAGCAAACAGTCTTGGGTAGTGTAAAACTGTAACCTTTTATCCTTTTTATGTAGGTTAATGGGTGTGTTGTATTTGCTTCCACTGTCAGTACTAAAAGCTTTACTTTGAGTCAAAAAAAAACAGTTCAGTCATTGTTTATCCACTTTGAGTAATATGACTAATAGGTAACAAATGTAACAGACTCTTCCCACATAACACTGTACAAAGTAACAAGTTTATCCATATGAATCACAAGTATGTATCGCTTTTACAGTTAATTCTTGCACAAGACACATATGATAATGCATGGAGAGAGAAAAAAATACACCAAACCAAACAATTACAAAGACCAAAATGAAAATTGTTAGCTGGAAGAATGTGTGCACAACAGATTCTCAATGTAGGCATGAAAACATCCCAAACAATTAGCATGGGAACACATATGCTGCCAAAGAAGGGGTGAGGCAAAAGGGGTCAGAGGTTCTTCGAGGTTCTGTATGAGGGCCGCCTCTGATCAGCTTGACTGTGTGTAGGGTGAATGGTTGGGAAGGGCAACCCTGAGACAAGAGAGGTCAGCGGGACCGAATGATGTGAGCTTTAATGTCCACAGACAGAGGACACAGAATGGGAACCATCTTTGACGTCTTAATTACCTTTAACATCTTACTCTCATACTTCTGACAGCTGTTTTGGCGCAGTTTAGAGATTGGAACAATTTTCTGTGCCTCGGGTACTCTAGCAAAACCAATGGACAGAAACCGGAAGGGGGTTTATTCTTTTTTTTCTCAAAAGCACACAGATTTTGAACCATGTGACAGATTTGTAAAAGCACAGTACGAGTGGATTTCTTGGGGGAAAAAAATAAATTTTTAACATTTTTTTGCTTGCCTAGATTGACCTTAGACCAATCCTCAGAAAAATCCTAAGGAATTTTGTTTATTTGACCATCTCATCCAGCTGGAATCAACAGAAACGCCGCTAAATCATGAATCACATCTAAGCAATGTCTTGCTGTATCAAAATCAAACTTATTTCATGGAGCAATGACACCATTTTGAGAAACCACAGACAATTTTAGGACTTCCTCCCAAGATTTAAAATATGTTTTAAGACCAATTTGTGAGACCATGTTTCAAGTAATAGACTCATCTGCAGAAATCCAACTTAGGTTCCAGTCAGTCAAAAATGAGAACACTCTGGATTATTTAACTAAAAAACAAAACAAAACAAAACAAAACAAATAAACAGGGAAAAAAACCGTCCCTGGGGAGCACTGCAATAAGCAAAAATCTATTTTTCACTATCACTGCTTAGATGCTCGTATCGTCATTGCATACCTTTACTGATTCAAACACCCACAGAAAATGTTCCCCGATGAATAGTTTGACTGACTTTTTGCATTTGTGTGTGTGTGTGTGTGTGTGTGTGTGTGTGTGTGTGTGTGTGTGTGTGTGTGTGTCTTACAGAATCATCAGACGCTGATGCAGGCCATCCCTCCCACTGCTGATGCCGGACTGGTATGTTGGTCAAGTCTGAAATGTTTCTCTTCACCTGCAAACAGAGGAAATGATTGTATTTTATTGAATCTTACTGTATACTTGCAATACACAAAACTCATGTAACATCCGTAATGACAACAGCATGCCCTGCCTCTCTGACTCTACACAAAGAGCTTTGATATTTCTCTATATTCTAGCCAGCGGGTGGGTCAGTTTTAGCGTCAACATGATTGCCTCATTACGTTGCATACAATGCTGTAAATTTTAGGAGGCATCCTCCGCTCGGAAGAACAGAAGAGGCAGAGAATAAAGGGCTTCAGAAGTCAAAGGAGAGAGAAGGACAGAAAAGAGACAGCCAGTGTTATCAGCATTCTTCAGATGCCACTGCTAATTCCCAGCGACAACAGCCCCACGCTCTGAAATGAACAGTATTTCTCTTCTCCCATTCATGTGCGGACGCTGTATCTGCATCACTTAATAACACTCCTTGCTTTTAAACAGTTAGCAGCCAGCAAGCGCCTGTCCCGTCAAGCGTTGCGTTACACCGGCTGCTAGGTTGTTGGTTTAAAGCCCTAACGCCAGCCTGATGTGCGCCAGTCAACCCTGATCAAAGCCCTGTCGGTGTCTGAACGCTGGCGGCCGTGGATTCTAGTGCGTTTGTTCTGCAGGATTCTGCCGTTCAGGCCCGCAGGGCTGAACACTGATGCTGAGAAAACTATCTATTGTGGAGCTAAGATCCCTCCACACACACAGGGCAAATCCTGTCTATGTAACAAGCACTGAGAAGAGATGGATCCTTGAGCATATTCAGGGCTGCTGGTCATGGAGGTGGAAACTTAAAGAACGCTACAAACACAAAGTCAAAGCCAATCTCGGGGAAAGCAGGAAAGCCTGTGCAGCACACTGAACTGTAAAGATTATGAAGATAGACAATGCTCGGCTGCTTGTCCCATAATACTACTTATTACCGCACTTTGCATTTATATGTAGTTTAAAAACTGTCTGGGAGCACAATCAGAATGACTCTTGTTATCTTTTATAAAAGAAATGCTCAAAAAAGGAACACTTTTGTCCCAAATATTAAAGTTGAAAATCTTTACTGGCATAAATGAGGTAAAAAAACAAAACAAAAACAAAACGACAACAAACAAAAAAAAAACCTGTGGAAACACAAATCATCAACCCTCTTAAAACAAAAGCAAAAATCAAAGCTAAAATAGTTTTTGAGCAGAATATTTTTTTCCTACACATTATCAGTCACAAACATAATTTTATTTCACTGTGGATGGGCAAAGCACGGCAAAGCAATTCAGAGTACAAACATGGAGGGAGAAGTATAAAAGAACAATAATAAATGAGTGGCACAGTCCATCCTTTGCCTTTCCGTCGTAAATCCCACACCACACGGCTCGGTGCCTATCCTTATGAAGAGGCTATGATCAGGACAGCAGGCTGGGGTCAAAGCGGGTGGCCAGTGTTATTACAGAGTGTAATATCTATGTTTGACCAGCCAGACTACAGGGATTTGACTGACCGGCTGGCCGGCCGATGAATAGAGGGGAAAAGGGAGGAAAGGAGAGGCATAAACACTAGTAATGAAGAGACTGCAGTCAGAGGTTAAAGCAGCATCAGAGAAACAACAAACTTACGCCCACCACAGAGAGAGTGAAGGTGAGAGGTGGAGGAGGAGAGTGGAGACAGAGAGTGAAAGACACCTGGCAAAGGACAATCTGATCTCACCACAAAAAAAAAACCCCCACCCACATCTATACAGCAAGCGTGTCCACCTGAAACTACACTGTCAAAATCTGAAGGGAGTCACTCAATCTTTTCCTGACATATGAAATATTGTGAAAAACGACTGAAAGAAAACTAATTATTAATAAAATTAAGGACAGATAAGAACCCAAGACTAGCTTGACAGAATGCCTGGCCTTAACCCAGCTAGCTGAATTTCTTGTTGCAGCCCTCGGTTACAGAGCATTGTTACTGAGGGCTGCAATCCAACCACACATGGAGCAATACTGTCTAATGCTGCCCCCTGTCTACCGCAACAGCCATCTGACTGATAAGTGAGACTGAAACAAACTAAAACAATTACGTTTAATAGTTGCCTCTCAGTAACACTTCCATAGCAAATTCCTACTTACAAATAATTCAGACTTGTTTGTCTCTAAACAAGGGGCCTACATTTGGAACGTCATTGCATGGGGTATTAAGCAAAACATGGCATTGGTGGTCGAACGATTCGGCGGCTTGTGAAAGGTATTGATCAACCTGACTTCTACACAGAGAAGATAAAATGTAAAGAAAATGCCTTTAAGGGAGCATAAAGGGATTTATATCAAAGTCTAACACAGTGCTGCAAATTGTGTGCGGCTGTTCATGTTGAGATGAGGCAAGGGTGTATGAGCCAGTTATACACAACATTAGCTAAACTGGCAGTGGTGCTGAGCTGCTGGGCAATATGCCTCACGGCAAAATTAATGATCCAATCATTGTAAATGCCAATTGCCTGTAATCCTTGCCTGGAAGCAAATCAAAGAAAAGGAAAGGTTTCCGTTAAACAGTCACAAGCTCCCTCTCTCTTTCTTCATCTCCCCTAAGCACCAGATGCCTTTCTTTCATTCCTTTTCGATCCAACCCTCCTTTTCTCAGCTCTCTAGCCCCTGTCTGCATTCGGTTCCTATATGTCGCCCAGCTGCGGAGCAAGGATGGGGCCCATCCACAAGCCCTGGGGTGGGCGGGGTGGGGGCGTGGGGGGGGCAGCAGACAAGGGAAATCCCCAGGACAACTGGTCTGGTCACGGACAACTCAGGACCCGGCAGCCATGCCTATTCTACCCTCTACTTCCCTGGCAAACATTTGCTCTCCAGCTTAGCTCAGAAGCTAGCCAGCAACTTACCCCCACAGTATAGTCTGGTAATGCCAATCAGAGTCTACACCGCCTTGAGCTCTAGAGATGGAGAAGAAAGAAAGTGGAAAGGGGACACTGGGAGAGAGATGGAGAATGAAGGAATAGAAAGGGAGGGGTAAGGGCAGTTCCCTGAGAGCCACAAGGCAAAGCCACAGTCTTTGGCAAAGACAAACAAGAAGACAAGACTCCATCCTTATTGATATGCACAAGCAGGGACCATCGGTTAGTCTTCAGTAAAGACAAAAGGGAGAATGGGGAAAGAAAGGTGCTCTGTAGTGGTGTCCATATGTGAGATTGGACACAGTATACCAGAAAAGAGTGTCAGTCAGGCTGAATATGTGTTGTTACCACTTTGTTGCGTCCCAAGATATTTCTGTTGACAGAACAGCATTTCCCTTCTTGCTGGTGTCTTTAATTATTCTTCTTATTGTATATTTTTTTCAGTCTATTTCCTCATCTCTCCCACAGGCAAGCCATACTAAAGCAACTCCACTCCACAACTACTCTTTCACATTCACTCTGACTCCGAAAACGTTTCTGAGCCAGCCACCCCTTGAATATATACACATGATATATTCAGGTTAAAGTTCTGGGTCTCATTTTCCCCGCAGGGGGCCTTGAGATGCCTAAAGACAAGCATTTGTAAGGAAAGGACCGCAACGTGGAGGCCTGTTTAAGCCCACATGGTCCCTTCTCTATCCCCCGTGGCCTCTTACAGCACCCCCACCAAGCCAACAGTCCTTTGCCTCCTTTCTGTGTCCACAGTTCCCCCCTCCCACACCACAGGGACCCCTCCCAAGTGTTTGTAATCCCAGCAGAAACACTTAAGGTTCACAGTGGGTGCTCATCAAAACCATCTGCCTGAGAAGAGAGTGAGGAAAAAAAAAGGGGAGATGATGAAGGAGGAGGAAAAAAATGAGAGCGCAAATGGAGAAGAGAGAGAAGTCCAGGGAGGCGAGCTGCCTCCAGTTCAGATGCTGGTTATACTAATCTGTTCAATTAGCACCATTACAGGCCCTGCGTGCAGCCTGATTATTATTAGTGTAATCTTGAACTGCAACGAGGACCTAGGCCAGAACAGCAGTGGTTGTAGAGAACAAGGAAGAATAAACACCTTTCACTTTTGCTTTTGAGAAAACAGTTGGTCTGGATGTAAAACACAGAAGCATTCAGCACATCTAAACTGACAAACAACTAGTCAAAGGCATGTAAAGAATCCACAGACATTAAACATCCTGATACACCGAGTTCAAATCATTTAAATTGAGTTTAAATTACCTAAACTTTCAAGGAGGTACTGTAAGACAGAGTTAAAGTTCTTACTTCTAGCAGCTGGCTAGCAAACACTGACTAATAAATGTTTCCTGCTCAGGTCTCTCCCTGCCAGAGCAGAGCAGGACAGCACAGGGCAGCTGTGTATGGCTATATCCACTCTAATATGTTTTCATATTAAACAGAGTTTCTGCACCATTAATAAACAAACTGAAGCAATATCTGTCCATTCACCTAAAAATGTATTTTACATGTCCACTGACGTACACCTGGACAGTCTATGGTAGGAAGTTGTAGCTTAATAAAATGCACAGTTTAGCTGTAGAACAGCTAAGAGCATAAACACCAGGCTCAGCAACACCTGTAATTTGTTTTCCTCGTTGAATTAACCACTGGTTGCCAAGACCAATGCTTTTGTTTTCTCCCACAAAAGGGTCATGTGATGGGGTGTGATGACTCACGGAAGGACAGATAGTGACTGATGAGATTCAATCAGTCAGCAGTTGGATGTTGGTGCCTGCATGATCAATTTATGATCAACCCGTCCTTACTAAAACTAAATCTTAGCTTGGTAGAGTTTTCAAAATACTTGATTTCAGGGGACCTAAAAGGACACAGTAGTGTGGTCAGATATATGCTTTAGTGGTGAAAACACTGGGATGTGACCACACGGTAATTAACACATAATGCACCAGCACAAGCATAAATTCCGTCGGCCACTTTCATAGGTTACGTCGTAAGCTCTCTAAGATTGCCTGTGTCTAAATCTGGCCTTGGTGTGGATGCAGCCTAAAAGACATGTTTCTATATGCAGGCAAGTTCAGATTTCAACACAAGTAGGACCTAAAAACCGATACAGCAAGACACACTCACTCGTCTTCGCATTCAAGCAAGCATACACTTACATTCCCATGTTCCTTAACATCTAATCAATTTGCAGCTGTGATAGCAATAACCAACGGATAAAGACATGCACTGGACTCACACTGGGTCCTAGCTGAGTAACCATAAATATTTCATAGGCTGCAAAGGCTACTGTTTAGTTTCAGATGGAGTAAGCGAACGCACTGTCTTTTTCCACTGCACCCACATGCCTAGATCAAACAATGTTTAGTCATTTAAATGGCTTTCTAGACTGCTGACACTGCAGCGAGAGAGAGAGAGAAAGACGCAGAGCTGGGGGAGTCCAGAAAAAACGAGGGGGCTGTACCAGAGCGCAGCTGTGAGAGTAATTATGTGCTCTGAAATGTGATCATTTGTGATGAATAATGAATCGATGGCTGAGATAGACTAGCAATGTTTGGCAAATGGAATGAAAGTTGTATTATGAGAAGTCAGAATAAGGCACAATAATATTATGTGAGTGCATGATGTGGGTGCATTGCAGAGACTTTGTGCGTATGTGTGCATAGAAAGTGACACTGTGATATCTAATGTGGTGTGTGTGTCCATACCTCCTGTATGGTTCTGGAGCCGGGAAAGTTGAGGTTGTAGTCCCTCTGAGCCTCACGGTGGCTAATGACCAGCAGGAAGTTTTGGTTTAATGAATCCTGAAGAGCACTAAACGAGAAGAGGGAACATTGGAAACCGTAAGAAACAGGGATAAATGCTTTAAAGGAAATGAAAACACAGATTGATGCAGAGAGAAAACACCTAAACGAGGTGACAGAATAATGACACAAGAGAAAGAAGAGGGCAAAGACAAACATACATAATTGCTAACAGTGACTCGAGTTGAGTAAAGGGCAAGCTGAAACTTGTCAACTAGTGGTAGCCTGCTGGCCTGTGGGGAGGTGGGTGCTTCCTCAGGGGGTAAGTCGTTCTCTTTTCTGGTTATGTCTTAACAAGCCTGTCCAGAGCTATGTTCAGCACAGCAGGCTCCAACAGCTATGACCACCTGCACATTAACAGCGGGGAGTCGATCAATCTGCCTTAACGCTAACAAAACAGGAGAAAAGGCCTACAGTACTTTCAGAACTAAAAAATAAATATAAATAAAAAGCAACATTTTGCTGTGGCATATCCTGAACTAGCTGAACACAGTCAAAAATCTGAAATAGCCTAAACCTAGTGCAGTTACAGTTACAATAGATGTATCTAGAAAGCTGTTAATGTTGTTGTAGGCAGGTCATAAAGTATGTATTGACTGACTATGCTATAGTTATCTCCATTTGCATTCGCTTCAGCGTGAATTTTTTTTCACTGACCTTAAAAAGTGAAAAATAACAATAATACAAAACTAAAACTGAATGTGAAAAAGTTTCTGAGTAATTCTGCAAATAAGTCCAGCAGACATTTACCAAGAAACTTTCATATTAATCTGTGAAAACGGTATTTACAGACAACCGCTGCTCTGAGATGTTGCCTCTGGACCGACACCCGTAGCTCACTTACTAACTTACAGCGGTGTTAGAGAAGAAGAGGTGGGGGAATCAACTTTTGGAAGCTTAATTTACAATAAGCTGTGAGGTTAAGTAGCGTTTTGAGCAAACGCTGGGTCTGTGAGGCTGAATAGCAATGGGAGGCTTAAAGGCCGAAACAGGCACTTAATCAGGGCTCAGAACCCAAGAAGAGGAGGAAGAGTTGAGAGAAAGAGAGGGATGGGGGAATTAATATGTAGCGCACACATTAATTATGCAATCACACCCTTAATCTGCGCAGATCTGGACGAGCTTATGTTAACAGAAGCTCAAATTTACTGTAATGACAGCATATTTACATTGACTAAAACTACGAAATCAATATGTAAATGTAATGTTTGTTGTAGCTAACTGGAGAAGATTGGAAATGTGTGAAGTGGGAAGGATGGATGCATATGTAATAGGCCCGAGCAGACGGATGAGAGCGATGTGTGTGCGTGTGTGTGAGAGAGAGGAGAGATGGAAGGGGTAGGGACATATAAATAAGGATCTAGCTAATATCACGATTATGTTTGGACACAGTCCCGAGCTGCTGCTGGCAAGCGGCTAGACTCCTAAATAGGCAGAGATAGAGGGTAAACTGAGTGGAAGTGTTACTCTGTCCTTCCAAGCAAAGAAGGAACATCTTATCAGTCATTTATGGCAGGCCGATGAGCCATTTGGTGTGTGTGTGGGTGGAGGTTCTGTTTGAGATTTACTTTGAAAAATATATCACTCATCATGCTCTATAGTACAAATATAGCTACTTAAAATATCAAATGCATTCAGACCGGAAACAAACTGCCACTCATGATGAGTCATCTCCTTGTCATTTCCCATCTGTCTAAGGAAGGCCTGCTGGTTCACATATAAACAGAACAACCATGTTTCAAATCTAACATCCCTTTGTCTGGACCGCTTTCACCACCTGTGTTTTCAAAGCGGCTGTCTTCTCGGGGAAGCAGGCCCTTCAAGCAGTGCAGGGTTGAAATGTGGATGTCGCAGTGTTTGCTTCTGCCTTCAGAGGTCCCTTTCTCACTCAACACACACACACACTCGTTGACATCTAGGTCGGCCCGGAACATCTCCGGAGGCACTTGACATGGCATAAGGGTGCCGTGAGGAAAATGTCATTTAACTTTATGGACAGCAAAAATGGAGCGTTCTGCAGGGGGAGAAGAGCAGGCTAAACAGATTGGTTTCATTCTGAGGTAAGCCCGTCGCCTAAGCTGTGAGTCCCCGCGGCACAGAGCAGACTCTAGACCTTATTAAACTAGCACTGCCAGACACAGAGACGCACACGCACGCACACATGCACACAATGTGACATGTGCCTACAAAACACCAATACCCATACACGCATACGCTGTCCCATAAACATTCACCAAAACTGCTCACTGGTATTTACAAACTACCATAACGCGTGTTTCAGCTGCTGCTTTAAATGCTTGAAAAAACACACCAACCAGCAGAATACACGCCAGCTCATCTTATGCCCCTAACAGGTACAAAGGAGGTTCTGAGGCGCACACGAGAGTCTGCTTACCTCCTCCATATTTTGCATCCACAACAAAGCAGAAAAATGTGAAACCATTCAGGTTCTGCTCTATTTTGATCTGCCATTGTTTCCAAAAGGTTATTATTGTGCTACTCGCACAATCCTTCGCATCACTGCTTTAGCTGACCAGTTAGCTATCTCCCTGAAGTATCTGTGTATCTGAGACTGGACAGCTGACACGCGGAGGTGAAGCGTAAGCCGACAGGCAAAGCTCAATAAAACAAGAATACATAAAAAAAACCTCATGAATCGCTTTTTTAATTTCAAACGTCTTTCCAGAGTTCAAATTAAAATAACCTTTCCTCGGCAAACACGTGCCTGCTCAGAGCTGGAGCAGAGAATAAACAATAAAGGAAACAGGCTCCATTGAAATATTCATCAGCCCTTCATCATTTATGCAAGAGATTAGCTCCTCCTTAACACCATCTTGTATTCACATGCGGTCATCAACATGGCCACAGAAAAACTTCAGACCATCACTAACTGCACATCACTTCACTAACTAAATAACTATCTAAATGAATCGGTGCTCAAAGGAATACCTCCCGAAGCCTCGAGATTTATTTCTAATCAAACAAGACAACCAAAAGGAGTTTGCTCAGCGGGATCATAATGACAGTGCAGCACTATTTAATCAGTCGGTTTTGGTGGAGGTCTGTGTACAGCATGAGCCAAGCTCGACAAAGTAATTGCTTTGGATATTACCATTTACGGGAGATTTGAATTTTTACTATGAGCACTGAGAAATTACATTTGGGTGGATAACTGTCTTTTCAGATTAAAAAAAAAAAATACAAACTAGCAAATATAGTTCGGGAGACAGTGAGAGGTTCATTACTCTCATTCAAAATGTGTGTTACAAGCCATTTTATTTAGATGGTAGTGATTCCTTTTTGCTTTTTGTTTGGAAAAAAATCATTAGCAGCTAGAAGAAAACTTTCACTAAGAGATGTTTTTTCCTGCTTTCATAACTATACTATTAAGTTAAGTTAAGGTTATTCATATATACCAGTTTTAAAATATTATCAAGCAACTTTACGTCTCTGCACGTTATACTCCTGTCATACCTGCTGTGTGTTATACTGCTTCTCTGAAACCAACAAAAGCTAAAAATGAATATGTCTCAACAAGCAAATGTGTCTGAAAAATGTACTTACACCGTTTTTTCCCCCCTTTTTGGCTTTGATACTGAATATCAATCATGCAAAATCACAATGTTGAATATATAAACATTTTCAGTGCACGCCATATTGCAGTCTGTAATATGGGACATAGCTACCAACCAAATTAAAAGAAGCTCAAACTTCGATAAGACAGTCTGTATGACCGCTATTTTCTTCCTAGATGTCAAAAAGATATTGCCCGAGTGCCACGAACCACCCATTTTTACACTTTGTGGTCATCCTATTACATGCACCATGTAACCTAAAGAAATCCCATAAAACTGCTCTGCCATAAAGCCGACTTTGGGATACCTAAAATGTTTCTGTTGACACCACTGCGATGGTTTTAAATAAGATGTTTTAGCACTGAGGTTTAGCTGCAGTTATCTTCTGGCTTGTATTATATTCAAAGGCTTTTCAAATATTCTCATAAATGACAAGAACCACTTGTCAGTGCATTATTAGAGCACAACACCACTTTCACTCTAAATATACATACACAACAACATTATACACTCCGCAAAAGGTTAAACACAATAAAAATAGGTTTTATAGCAGAGCTCTTGTACCGAATTGTGGCAGACTACAAGTGCAACTAATAAAGAGGCAACTCCGTGTGTGGATTTTTGAAGCAAACACTGTTGCCGGATGCCTGTTTGAAAATGGCTTTAGTGTGTGCAACATCCATCCAAGTTGAGACAAACAAATAGATTACTTAGAGGGAAATGAGATACATAGTTTTTTTTAATGTTACTAATTAGATATTCTGCTATATTTGGATTAATTATGGTTAATTAGATAGTAATTACATGCTGGAAGGCTACATTTTATTAGAAACTTGTGGGACAGTAGGTAAAAAACAAATAAAAGTAGACCTTTGTCTTAATGTTAACCCGTAAAGTGCTGCACTCAGTTTTGCTTATTAGAAGTGAAACTGAAATCAGGGCCGTGGTTAAAGCTTCTCAAAGGCAGTGATACAATATAATCAACAGTAAAAAATAATCATTAAGATATATACACACTATAAGAATTACACATTTCCTTCCATAGTGAAGTTTCAGATTTTATAAAGTCACACACGTCGTTTTTCATGATTTTCTCATGAAAATCAACCTCTTTCTCATTTTTCCTCATACATTGTAATACTCATTTGATTCATCCTTATTTCCTCTAATTATGTTGCATGAGTAAAATGAGAAGACTGCCACTTTCATCAGTAAATCAAATATTATAAGATATTTAAAACACAAATAACACAAGAACTGGTCATTTATGGTCATTTGATACCAAATCAGTTCATTCATAAGACATGAATACTTTGAGATGTTATGACACTAATTCTTGCACTGAGATCTCTCTGCTACAACAAATCTGCAGACACTTCACATGAACTGTGTGTATATGGTGTGACCACAGTTTATTTTTACTACAAGCCAACAGCCTGTTTGGTCTCGCTACAGGGGACTGCTCCCTTCACATTCTGTGATTTGTCACCTATCCGCTCCCAGTATGCCAACATGGTCACCATACGCACGCAGGCACACGTTAATAGACAATTGCATGTGCATATACACAAGAGCCCACCCACTCCTTTCAGCCCCAACTGTCCGCCGCTAAAATAGCTGACACAGAATAACGAGCTCCTGACACCCAAAATGATATCGATAACACTTGGAGGAAAGGCAACGGTGCTGCTAAAAAGACACAGCAGTCGGTGTACGAGTGAGAAGATGAGGAGAGGCAGGGAAGAGAGAGAGCAACGGAGGGTCATTAACTGCCAACACCGTATAACTACCACTTAGCCTAACTAGCATGGAAAGCTGCAAACTGCCAAATTACTTCCTCCACACGTATTCTGCTGACATGTGGATGCTTTCTCAGGGGAGAGCTACAGTACAATTTTTGTTTTTTTTAATTCACAGCTGAAAAAAGAAAAGATTAAAAAAAATTGGAGGTCAATGTATGACACGCCAATAAAAAAAATAAAATAAAAAAAAACCTAAACAAAAACCCTCTTGATCTTCTAACAAACGAACTAATGCTCATTGCAGATACATGCCTCACAGAGCTTTTGATGATGATTTGAAGATGATTCATAGAGACATGGGAAACTCTGCTCACAAAATGTTATACTTCAAAATGTCCCAGACTACGTCACAACTTATTAGGTTCCACAATTACATAATTATGCACTCAAGAAGACCTTACAGCTGCTTTTTTAATGCAATGTTAAATTGATAAATGCTGATAACGGTACTGGTGCTGGATCTGAAACTACACTGCTCAACCATTAATTTCAAAAATATTCTGAAGAACACATAAAACACTAACCACTGCTGGTAAATTTCCATTAAATCATTTCTTTCCCGCTTTGTTTTTAGCTCACAGACCATGTCCTCGGGGACATTAGCTTCAAAAAAGAAAACCAATTCCGTTATTAATCACAGAAGTGGCACTGTACATCCTCAATCATTCTGCCTGGATGTGTCTTCAAATTACAGCGCACACAAAATTACACGGCGGGGACAATGACAGACAGCAAACACTCATACAAACAAAGAACTCAAATACTGCAACCATACAAATAGTGCAAGGTAATATTTTAAAGACATATTCCCACAAACAAAAAAATGTGTACCCTTCATACCTCAAAATAAAAAATAAAAATGATCTTTGTCATCCTGTGATAACCAAGTAGAATAAAGCAGATATATTATTTCTTTGGATGATGTTTACCTGATACTGATAAAAGACCAATCACATGCTCAGCTGCCAACTATGATTGTATTACTGCTACGACTTTATCCTGAGCTGCCTGACGTTTCAGAGAAAAAGGTTGCTAATGCTGTCACGCATTCACTAAGACAACCCGAGAAACCTCTGGATGAAGAACACCGACTTCACAGGCTTTCCCAGAAAATCTCTATTGTTACTGCGTGTTAATGTGTGATCTTTCAAGCAAGGTATAAATAATAGATATGAAGTGTGGCTGTCACATACACAACTTCTGAAGAGAAAGATGCAAAGGAAAACCTTTGGCAAGCAACAATATCATAGCGAAGATGACAAAGACGGACGACAAAATTATTATTTGCATAACACACAAAGAGTGTGGCACCAGACGTTCCTCTCATCTTCTCAAAATGTCACAAAGGATGTGAAAAGCGAATGTGCACTGCCAGGTCAAATGTCTCCTAATAAAGCTATGAAAGCAGCGTTGGCTCCCTCTCCTCTTTATAAGTGGAGATATAGCACCACCTGGTGTTTGAACTGCACTCATGCCACTACCTATAATGATTTATAGTGTATACGCAGCAGAATGACAAGAAAGGATTTATCCCCATAATAAGGATGGGAGTTAGAGAGTACCTGTTTTTGCTGGTGCTGGCAGTAGGGGCAATGTCGGGGGTCAGGACATACAGGCTGTTGTTCTTGGGCAGGTGTAAACTTCTCAGCACCATCTGAGTACACACACATAAACATACACAACTGTAAAAAGGTCCTGTGAATGAGTTATAGCTGTAGAGACAATATAAATTAGATCGGCTCCTAAATGCAACACCTGTCTGGTAATGTAAAACAATTAACAGAAGGAGCAGACTTGTGTTATATCACCATTTTTCTTAGTGTCTTAATGTGTTAATTCAATTCAATACAATTCAGCTTTATTTATACAGCACCAATTCACAACAGTAGTCACCTCAAGGTGCTTTATAAAAATTAAAGCTTTTAACTCACACTATCAGACACATCTCCGCTCTTCCACCCTTTCAACTGCATTTTGGACACCGGAACACCAAGCTCTGTTTCAAGGATCTGTTTGATTTCTCCTATGGATTGGATTAGACAAAGAAAGGAAAATTGACCTTTTGTTTGCAAAAGTCAGTGCGAAAGCGTTAAATATGGACATGGTACATCTGTGCGAGTTTGTGGTGCTCACCAACTGTGCTGCCCTCCTCAACCACCAGCTCTACAGAGCGTTGCCGGTACTCGACCCTGAAGTTGAGCATCCGGGACTGACGCTCTACGATGTGTCGGGAAGAAGGGTTGATTGGGCAAAAAGCTGAAGCTGAGGACGATGGAGGTGAAGAAGACGAAGATGAAGAAGAGGGGGGAGGAACTGCGCTTCCTGCTGCTGCGTCAGCTGCTTCTGAGAGGCTAGGAGGTCCGTACACTGTGGCCTGACTCGCCTCACTGGAAAAGTTACTACAGGAAGACAGTCAGAAAAGAAATTCAAAATGGAACTAAAATGACTTCCTTGTGGTTGCATGCTGCTTCAAATTATTCAAGTTATAGTGCAGCTCCATGTCTGTGTAAACTCATACAGAATATTTACTTTAACAGTTAGGCAGCAAAAGCAGGTATAACCAATTCAATAAAAGCGATATATGGTCACAATCTCCCCTCGTGCCCCTCAGTTATGGTGCTGAATAATGACTGAAAATTTGCTTTTGGCAAACATTATGATGCTGCAATAAAGCTCACCTTTGACTGTTTGGATACTTAATGTCATCAGTTTATCCTATCAGAAATTTGTGTGAAACTTTCAGGCATAACAGACTTGCGCAAGCGCAAAAGCCATGCTTAAACATTTTATCAGTTTAACAACAGTGGAGAAGTCACTGGCCTGAGCCGTATGTTGTCCGCCATAAAAACCTCCACAACAAACCTGAGCAACAGGAAAAGGACTAGATCCAACCATGTTAGAATAATCTAACTGCACCCCTGCTCATCAATTCAGTGAGAAATAAAATTAATCCACCAATAAATTAAAAATTAGCATTTTTTTTCCTAAAATCAGAATGTCATGTACTGAGTTACAAATACTGCACACTCAAAGACAGCTCCTCACACGTGCGCTGATAAATTAATGACTTTCATTGTTTGTGTTATTAATGAAATTGTATTTTATAGATATAAACTTGTAACTTAGATGAAAATAAGATAACATTTTACGTGTAATCGATGCAGGAAATCAACTAAAACAACGGGTTTACATAATGGCTCTTGATGTTTTATAGTGTATATGCAATCAACATCAGGCTGTTGTGAAATATACCAACAAAGGAACAGAGATAACACATGTGCCATGAACTGCAGAAAAGTGGTGGGAAATCCAAGTCAGGACATAGTTGGAAGTTCTCCTTTCTCACCATTTCCAATACTGGAAATACTCTGTTTGACTTAGGCAATACCTGCGTAGAGCACGCAGCAAGGACACAGGACAACCACTCGTTAGCTTTCAATTTACTGGACTCATTAACTGTGCGACTGTCAAAGATCAGATATCACACCTAGACTTTGTACTGAAATGTTGGCAGATTAAATATCACATAATTGCCAATCCAACTGTGACAGGCACATTCATAAGGCAGTGACTAGAAAAGTTTAGGGCTGCAATGCATGTGTGAAAACTACAATAAAAAGCATATCATGTTAATAATTGAAGGTGCTAACTGTACATTTGCTCTAAAATCAGAGATGGTTTACATTTGAGACAGATGATGCAAAAAAAAAAAGAGATTTTGCAAGAAATATTAAAGAACAAATATGAGAGATCCTGCCAAGATCATCTTTTTTTTAATGCTGAAAGTGTCGAGGGGAAATAAGGCTGATTTCAAGAGCTGTCAAAATGAATAGAAAAAAAGATCCCTATTGAAAAGGCATTTAAAATATCTCTTATAGTGTTCTGGGCGTACTTTTATCCTTTACTACAAGTAGATGGCATTCTTCTCCATCTAAACCAAACTACTGAGGCCTTCACCTATAACAGGACTCATGATTTCAACAGATGACGGAGCGGAGTCTCATGAGAAAATCATATTTAACGCTCTTAACAAGCTGCTTATGATTCTTAAATTGCTTAGTTATAAAGACACGATTAAAGACAGAAACACTGTTTAGACAGCAGTGCTGGAGTACCCTCCAACTGGCCCCAGATCAGGTCACGTCATCAGAGTCTGTTTACAGGACAACTCTGGCCTACTCATACCAATGCCAGCCACTGAGTGAATGTGTTGGCTGCTGATCACAATGCCAGCCAGCCTCCGTTCGTGACAGTGTGTGCCTTCAAGAAAGACTGGCAATGTCCACATGGCGCAAGAGCTGAAAACAAACTACAGCACATGCATGTGCACACGTGCGCACAAGTGACTTGCAAAATAAAACGGTTAAGGGGAGGCCTCCAGTGGGAGGGTCTAGATTAACTAATTGCATTCATGGCCCAAGAGCTGACAATAGGTCACTCGTGCACATGCATGCATGTGTGCATGTGCACATACACACATGCATTGTGTGCATTTCTGCATGTTCACATACACACATGCATTGTGTGCATGTGTATGCATTAGCTCATGAGTAACAACTAACTGTTGAAGGAAAGTGAATGGCACAAACCCTCTTAAAAGAAACCCGTTCTAATCAGAAACTGTGTTCAACTTGATTCTTAGCAGAAAGCTTCCTTGCAGGAAGTTTTTTTAATATCAATCCTCCATTAAAAAGCAGAATAGAAAAATCATTGCAGAAGCAATACCCTGCAGCTCAGTAGACTCTAGGTTATTATTTCCTGGATGTTGCTGCGTGTGACTGTTTTTATTGAGCTACACTTCTGTATCCACTATAACCGTGATAAAGTTCACAACGCCTTGTCAACACTGAGATGAGGACTTCATGTTCCTGCAAATACAGTCAGATTTTGGTTAAGATTTCCTTATTTATTTTCTGACTCGCGTATGCAGGTGATGTACATCAGAGGCACATATTTCACTGAGAGTTTTTTGGGAATCCCCAAACTCATTTATGTGTTTTCACATCTGCCTGTGATTACGTCTAACCTTTAACTTGGTCATTACGGTTTGACAAAAATACAAAAATGTTCTGAACTTATGCAGCATTCCCTTGGAATTAAAAGGTGAGCTCGTACGTTTTCTCTTATTTAGAGCAGATTTTTGAGAATGTGGTTATTACCTTTGTAAGATCCCGTTTTCCTGTGGTATGACCCCATTGATGGCTGCCTGTAATAAATGCAGAAGTCAAAATTTCAGTTGTTGTCCTTTTGCCTTCAAACACCAAATAACACCATGACAAAATATGCAACCAACGTAAACTGAACTAATTTCAAAGAGGCTGGCAGATGCAGCATGGATCACCAAACAGGTTTTAACTGTAATTACTGTAATAAACTACTTTTGGCAAACAAACTTCATTTAGGCCTCTATGGTCTTAGGTCTATTTTCATATATATGTATATATATATGAAAAATTAAATATCTTTCAATAAAATTTACACATTTTATACTGACTGACTTGCAAACTCTGTCAGGCTGACAGGTAGAGTCCGACCTGTGCGTTCTGAAAGTTTACAAATTCTGTTACTTAAAAGAAGAAAAAACACTGAAGGAGAGTGAAAGATCAGAACAAAGGGAAATGAAAGGCCAAATATAGCCACTGTCTGCTTTGCAGTTTGCTTTTGTTTGAATCGACAATTGTTTGGATTCCTCTCGAACACTCACTATTCTACACTGCCAAACAGGCAAAGTAAAGCTGGTAAGCGCTGTTATAATCATATCCACTATTCATTGTTTGTATGAAAAGCAATACTAGAATTTTCTTGCAAAGAAAAGGTATAAGGAACTGTGAAATAATGGCAAAAAAAACACCCAGCCCCATCATCAAACATGCTATAGTTGGCCTTCATTGGAGTATACAGTCATTATCTTTAGGTCTTATAACTGTCTTTGCCGTTTATCAAATGCCACACATTACTGGCTGGTGAACTGCCAGAAACTCGGTGGGCAGTTATCACGAACAAACATAACCTCAGCACTTATGAACACGACTCTTTGTCTCTTGACTGAAGCTTCCACCGGCTTCGGTTTCAACTTCGGTTTGTTTCTCTTTTCTGAGCTATTAATTTGTGTTTAAACAGTTTCTGTCACATTTTAAAATGTCACAGTGGGAAGAAGCTCGAATAAATAATAAAATGAATCACTGATAGTTAAGTGTCAGATCCTGGCATTGCAGGTAGCTTTAGGTGCGTTGATAAGTTAAAAAAACAAAACAAGACTTTTAAAAGCAACAGTGCATTCTTACTCAATACAAACATGCTCAGGCTATAAAAAGTTTAGCAGCATTGTAATGATCCATTTATTTTATCTTTCCTAACACTAAAAACAGCTGCAAATGGGTCACCCTTCCTAAAAAATAAAAAATCACGTCTGCTTTTATTACTGTAAATTTAAAAATAAAATAAAATGGACAGTAAGCACATAAGAGCAATGGCAATATTTCACACCACAAACTCCAACTTGCTGGCAGATGCAGTACTAAGGTATTGGGGTGAAACTCCACACTCACACTTAGCAAACACATTTGTTTTTACAAAAACTAACACCTACTGCAGAAGAACTGCGAGCCATCAGATTTACAGCCGCAGTGAGTCCAGCCCCCACTGTCTATCTCGCTGCCTGCTTTGAGCTCCTGCCAGCATCTATCTAAATATAGACTGACCTCTTCCAATATGCACTTCATGCTGAGAGGTGCATCATGAATTAATACAAACCTGACGGGATTACATGAGGAAATCATTTGCCCGTTACACAGTGTGCGCTACTGGATGTTAACTGCCCTCTTGAACCTGCTCTGTAGACAGACTAAGTCCGTGTGTCCAAGAGTAAAGCCCAATAGAGCCTGCAGATAATGAACTTACCACTAAATCCCAGTTATTAAGCTCTAACAGAGTGATTGCCTCTGCAATGTTGTCAATTCCAGTGCAAGCCTGTGAGGGGAAAGCAAAACAAAAAATGAATTCAGCAGACTAATGCATCGTATGAGATCAAATTCTAATTGTGAAAAGAACAATAACAGTTACAGTTTAACTACTACTCTATTACCCATAAAAGCAACGTGAAATGGTAACAGTCTTAAGAACGATTATGAACATTCAGTGATGTCTTGATCAAAACAAGGTTGCCAGTTTCTCAGAATCTCAGTAATACATATTCAGCATGACAACAAACATGGGCTTTAATGTCAGTACCATTGAAATAAATTAGTAGGTCTAGTTTAAATGTAAAACCTTAATAAATAAATAGAAACAGACCCAGATAGTAAAACAGTAAAACATGTACTGAGCATTTTGGTTCTGTTGTGTTCAACTGGTCTTTAAACCAGCATGACATTTCAACCTATTAGACATGTGTAAGAAATGTCTATTTTCTTTATAATAGGAGCAGTTAATACTTAAAACAATATTTATGCCAACATTAAGGAACATTTTATGCCTATTTAAAATGACCCTCTATAGAATTCATAAAGTTTTTACTTGATGATGAAGCGCTCTTCAAGTATCTACAAAAAAGCAAAGTAACACTGGCATGTCCCTGCTGTCTGCTGATACCAGGAAAATTTGGTGTTAACAGCAAGAAATTAATTCAGAACAAAGTGCGATGCGGTGTTGAAACCAACAGCCCAGTACTACATATCAAGAATAAAATCCAAAGCAAACTAGTTGTGTGTGTATATAAAGTATATTATCATGCTGGCTAGACATAACCTGGACTTTAGCCCAGCCTTTGATACCACTGATCTTGATTCACAAGTCAAAGCCCTGTCTTGGATTAGTTTACTTCATATGTTGCTGATAGAATGCTTTTGGTTTCAGTGGGCAAGATGTTTGCTCAGATCTGCTCTCATCATCCAGCTTCGTACAACGATCTGGTTTAAGTCCTCTGGTGCTTTCATTGTATAGTCTCCCTCTCTTTTAAACCTTGTGAACTGGATCTGGTTGAATAATTTTTTACAGTTAAATGCAGACAAAGACAGCACATCTAATTATTGCTCCTCAGAGCATTACTGCCAAATCAGACAGGAACTGGGGTCCCTTTATCCACTCTAAAACCTGACATGCTAAATCATGGGATATTTTGTCTGCTTTTCAGTCTTTGACATTTAATGCTCACATTAAGTCTCTGATATGCTGGTGTTTTGTTTTGTTTTCCATTTGAGAAATATTACTAAACTCTAAAAGTCAATTGGTGATGCTTGTTTAAGACTTTGCCTCCTCTTGCTTGGATTGCTTTTATTCTCATTCTTTTAAGTTCTTACATTTCACCCCACTTTTAAAGGTTTTGCATTGCCTTCCTACCAGGTTTAGATTTCGGTTTCAAATCTTGGTTCTGACTTTTATGGCCCACTGCACCCCTCAGGTCCTCAGATTGGGGCCTTCTTTTGATTCTGCGTACCCATTTGAAAACAAAAGGGAATTCTGCCTCCAAACCTTAGCTCCAAAATATGGAAGAGGTTACCACTGTTTAGAAAAAACAACTCAATTGTTTAGATAAGTATTTAAGTAGTGCTTGTGATTTTGGGTTGTTTTGCTTGGTTAATGTGTGTCAACTTTGCGAATAGTGCGGGCTAGTTTTTACCCATTCACCTTTTTAAAGCACTTTTTGACGGTCCTTTGTCTCGAAAAGAGCTATAAAAATAAAAATCACTTAGTTCCCTAACAGTATACTAAAGTAAACTTGCAAACAAAACTACATTAACAAGCTCTTCACCGGGGAGCTTGCGTACAGTTAGCTAAACACAAACAGAAGATGACGATTATATGCTGTTCTAGTAAAGACCGTCAGATAAACAGAATCATAAATTACTGCCAGTTTGCAAAGGTTTATCGCCATTATCGCAATGTTCACGGCAAACTGGGCTTAACATTTAGAGTCTTTATGGATGACACAGTTTCTGATATGGATTTGAAACGCTGGCAAAACAATGTGTAAACAAGCTGACAGCAGCGGCTAGCCCCGAAAATTCCCTCTCAGTAGTAGTTGGATCGTTATATGTAAACGATTCAAAAGATTAGATGACTGTTGTCATCTGTCTGGGTCATCTTTTCTGTTATGTAGTTATTGGTCACACAGATAACAGGCTTCTTCATAATCAGGTAGCAAGTTGTCAGTGTGTTAGCACAGCGTGCTAACCACAGAAACACCAGCTCAGGTCTGCTGTTTACCACGCCAGTCCGAGGCGTTTCAACAACAACGGGCACATTAATGCCCACCTCGTACAATATGAGGGGCTAAGAAAAAATGACACTCACCTGAAAATCGGCCAGAATCATTTCTCTATCCATGTTGCTATCGCCGCTTTCGGAGGCCATGGCAATGACTGGCTAAAAGCAGTTCTTGTTCCACTGGCTCTCGCTGCTTTCTGTACTCACACAGGGACGCTGAGTGCTGGTAAAACTGTTTGCTTAGGCGTGGCGGCGAGTGAACGAGCTGTCAAATTGGGAAATGCTGAACTTTCTTTGATTTTTAACTGCTTCAAATAGACAAAATGCTGTAAAGTAACGTTACAGTGTTCAGTTATCTCATATCACTATTGTCAGCTTTACGGCTGACGTAAACCGGAGATTTTGTCGCAGATTGTCGTAAAAAACCCCAAACGCGATAAAGGGAGGTTAACTTTCATGTAGCTGCATGAAATCAGCGCTTCTCTCCTTAATAACTGTACCACTATAAATATGTTTACTATGCACATATCTACAGACTGAAGTCATACATATTTAATATTCTATTAGCCAGGGCTTCCACATGCCTAAGCTTTAGGAGTAACACGACATCAGAAATTATATGACTTTGTCCAGGTGTTATTACAGAGTTGTAAGGTCATTTAGATTTTATAGACCAGTCTTGTAAATGTGACATAGGTGAAGAGTTCACACAGCCAGCCCATGCAGTAACAGGCTCCTCCTCCAGGTCAGCAACTCCGCCTGCTGTCTGGTTCATGATATGCTTTTTGAAACAGATTAAACCAAGCCACCGATGTGAGGCTCTTTCATGAGCAAACCTTCTCCCTTTAGGCTTTCGCCACAGCGGATTATCTCACCCTATCCCTAGCATCCTCTGTCACAGCAATCCTCCTTCACTGCATCCATGAATCTCCTACTGCAATCCCAGGTTTCCCTCTTTACCTCCTGCCTGGTACCTTCATACTGTCACCTCCAGCTCCGCCTCCAGTCTTTCTGTTAGTGCCACAGTCTCCAAACCAAACATCATCGCAGGTCTCACTTGTGAGACTTTTTCTCTCTTGCTGCTATCCTCGTCTAAACCCACTCCACCCTATCTGCACGCTCTTCTTCACATCTTTAGTGCACTGTCCGGTGCGTTGGGTGGTTTCACAAACAAGTAGAGATCTTAACTTTTATTCAAATAAATATTTTAAATATATTTTCACATCAGTGGTATTGTTATTATTTTTCCTCTTTCCGCATGCACAGTTTCAAAGAAAAGTTTGGTCATCTATACGAGTAATATGTTTCTTGGACACTAGAGGGGACCCATACATCATTTATCCTACTGAAATAATATGGCCAATAACACAGTCCTCAGTCCTTGTTAATACTGTAGTACGTAACCAGTGGAAAACTCTGTGGCTAACACACAAGACGTTTCTCCAGATGTCTAACAGAAGCATTGTGAAGCATCGAGGCCTTTTAATTTAAAAAGGATAGGCTACCGAAATGTTCAAACTGTAATTCAGTACCTTAGTTAATTGTTTGTACATAAATACGAAAACGACTCGTACTTTTTTTAAAAGTTGTGTCCACGTGCTTTACAAAGTAAAACTAAAGTGGTCCCAGTTATTAAGTCTGAAACTTACAAATCAAATTAGTTGTCCTTCCCAGGAAAACTGAATGAAATGTGCTCGATTATACTCTTACTAAAGCTCCTAAATATTTTAAATGATAATAAAATAAAAAGTTATTATTATTATTATTATTATTATTATAACAACATTTTATCTTAGGCATTGTTTAAACCACGCCAAAGCAACAGCCGTTGGCTACGCTTGGCTGTTTCTCAATATGCATACTTGGTATTTAGAAATCTCCCTGCACTCTTTGATCGATTCCCAGAAGAGTTCCTTGGCCTCTTCCACCACCAGGACAACATCTGGAGAGGCCTTTCTTACAGTTGAAACCACATTGGTTAATTATTGTTTTCAAGAAGTAGTTCAACAAATGGGACTGAAATCCTCACAGTATCCAGTGCAATCTGTCATCCCAGCCATGCTGTAAAGTAATTATCTCAATCTCAGGCAGTAGTTGATAGTATTGTCCCACGCTTCTTAATCAGCCACTGCAGCAGATAAGGAAAAAAGTTCTCATTGCCCTAGTTTACAATAGATATTAAAATAACAGTATGCATCATATAAACACTGTATGCTAAGATTTCGAACTGTCATGGGCCTGGGTCTGTTATTTTGGGGTTTGATGATTAATTATTAGTTTCATTTGTCTTCTGGAATGCTTATGGTTGTTTGTTGGTGTGATCTGCTCCTGTTCCCTCGCTTCCCTGTGTAAAAGTTGGACTGAGTGTGTGTGTGTTTGTGTGTGTGTCTATCAAGGAGCCCTACTTAAGAGAGTAGTGGACGGTGGATAGGACTGTACTAAATGTGGCATCTCTCGTTTCTAGGTTAAATGTGGAAACATGTGACAGGAGCAGCACACTGTGTACATAGGCACCAAGGAGGACAAAACTTTACCACATATCAAGGAAAGGAATCAAGGCCTGGGAATTGGGAACACACTGTGGATTGTTGGCACTGTTTCATAGCTTTTTGTAAATAAACACACTTTCTGTGTTTAGAACGTTCTGCATTTGGGTCCTCCATCAACCAACCCTGACACTAGCAGCCTTAACTTTCATTTGATCACCACAGGACATTGGTCATGAGTTTAATGTGTAATGAAATATGAGCTCGGGCAAATCTTGTGTTTAATATTGCACAAGAAACAAGACAAAACAGCTTTCCTGTCTTTGAACAACACATGGAAATTTTCACCTCTTCAGAACAACTACTGAAACGTGCAGGAAATCCAGTGTTTATTACACAGTGTGGAAACTCGATGCTGGACTCAATCAAACATCAAAGATGATGATGATGATGAGATAGCCTTTATTTGTCAGTTGCAGTTGCCCACAACCGAGATGACAGACCTTGCCAACCGTACATACAATACACAAACATCACTGCTGCAATCTTCGATTGCGCCTCCAGCTGATCTGGTGTCCACATCGGATGGGAGGTAAGCATGGGAGGAGGCGTTGGATCCGGGGTAGGGAGGGTGATAGTGAGGGCGTATCAGTGTAGGTGTTTCGTGCGTCTGCATGTGTGTGTGTGTGTGCGTTGGTTTACAACACCAACTGTCTGCCATCTATAATCCAGTTTTGAGATCCCTTCCCAGACGCCTTAACGCTCACATCCTGGGCTGTCTGACCTCAGGAAATCACATGATAGGGTGGGGCCAGGTTTCACAATGACTCTCCACCATTTGACCCTTAGAACTGAAGAAGCTTCTTGGATGAAAGGTGAAACGTCTTCAAGCAACTCAAAGAAGTCCAGACGCTTTTCTTTGGATGACTGAGAATCTTCACAGACACCTTTATTTTAAGTTCTTTCAAATCCCTTGGATGTTGTCAAATTAACATACTTAATTGCAAAATGATTATTTTTAGATTGGGTAGTTAAATTGTAACCTTACATTTTATTGTACTTACTTTGAAGGACTTGCCTTTAGGGAAGTAATATCCCCCAAACTGAAGTAAAATAGTTAGTGTATCTGTGTATTGCTTAAGACCCCAAAGGGAAGTACGGTCCTCAAAAGTGGCACAAAATGGTTTATCTGTGTTGGTTTATCACTGAAGACACCAAAGGGGACATTAAACATTCCCAGTCCCCAATAGGAAGGTAAAAATACTGTATGAAGAAATATTACTTAATGAAATGAAAATCTCAAGTGATTTTCTTTTTTTATTTCTGTGGATTTGGAGGTGTAAAATTCAGTTGTCAGCCTGCTTCTAAACCAAACAGAAACCGGTGTCCCCAAAGGGTGGGAGTTAAAAAGTGCGACCTCAAATTTGACTCAAGCGAGTATACACACACGTGTGTGTGTGAACGCGCACACACCTCAAACACATATAAATTCCAAATTTATTTATTTATTTGTATTTATTTGAGAAGAAGCCCCAAAACTATGACAGAGCTTCCATTGTCCGAGCCATTTCTCGCTATATTAATATAAATGACTGAACTTCCCATTTTTCTAGTGATAGATAGAATATTTTTTCTTAATACAAAAACAAATGGTAGAACAGGTTATAGGTATTAATACAAACATTTCTAAAAACCTTATTTATATCCGTTTATGAAACAATTTTTCCTCTGGTCAGCTGTCAGACTTGTTACCATTTAAAACTGAAAAAAGAAAAAGAATACAATTAGTTTCACATAGTACAGGAAATATAGGAAAATAATCAGCTGTCAAATAAAACAGTAAAATCATTACCTTGTGACATGTTAATCTGATTTGTTAGCAGCATTTCTGCTTCTGTTTCATTTATGTTCATGTATACAGTGTCAGCTTTGTTCTGTAGAAAGATTGTGATTATATTTGTTGGTACTGACTTGGAGCAATGCACCTTTAACTTAGGTTATCGCTTACTTTGAACTCTGCAAACAGAGCGCTGCCCATCACTCTCTGCACTTGGTCCTCAACAACAGGGAAGGAGACGACAAAGTACTACACAGAGATGAAAGCAGACACCAGAAGCTGATATTCATATGTCTGAATTAATGTTTCTTTCTACAGATGCAAAACCAAAACAAATGAGAAACGGAGATGAACCAAACACATTTTTACAAACATTTTTTTTTATTTGTACCAAATGGTTGTGAGAAAATCATCATAGGTGTCATCAGCCTGCTTTTTTGAGAAGACACACACACTGAAGTACCTCTAACGTTAGACTGGCTTGTATTTGGCCATCAGGATGTTCTCTGTTGCCCATAGTGTGCAGAAGATGCTGGATCACTCCAAGAGAGAGCAGCTCACGAGAAAGCTCTTGATCTTCCTCAGCCAGCAACCTTTAACAAATATTGAACATCATTAAAATGCAGATAGGACATCGGGCATAAAACTGCCAAATCAAACATGGGGAGCTACTGGCTATTGTGAACCCTTGTGACATGGGAGCAGCTAAAGATAGCTACTGTATTACAACATATAAAGCTATCACACTGCCATGAATAAAATGTTATGTCATGGTTTTATCAAACCATGGCCTAAAAAGTCAGTTTAGCTTCATGCATCTCAATCTATTTACTGGGAAGTATAAACCACTGTCACTCTAAATCACCCTTTTTGCTACCAAAGAAAGTGGTAACAAGGCAACAACACGACACCTGCCAAAAAGGAAATAGTTTTGCAGGTGGTGACTATAAACCATTGTTCTCTTCTTATCCCTCCTGACAGATTTTTCTCTAGTTTTGCTTTTTGCTTATGACTTTGTCACTGCAGCTGGGGTTTAGGAGGTAGAGCAGGTTGTCTACTAATTCAAAGGTTAATGGTTTGAGCACCTGGCTACTACAATCTGCATGTCAAAGTATCCTTGGGCAAGATACCAAACCTTGAGTTGTTCCCCTTGCATCTATCGTGAACAACTCAGGATTTTTGTTTATACTGTCCTCATTGAGTTTCTGTGGGTGTGTAATACAAATGTTAGAGAAGATATAAGTATGTATGTATGTAAATGAGTGTGTGATTTGTTTCTAAAGGTTTGGTCATAACATCCACATGACGCTCCATGAGCACGGCATGATAGCAATGGTCTTTGGCAACCACCTGCAAAGCCATCATGGTTTTGAACAATTCACATTATGTTCTGTTTGCTAACTGGACAGACAGATATCCCAGACGTTTAACTGAGTTTGTGTTATACTGTGATTGAGGAGGTTATTTGGACTCCATACCGTATTGTTTTAGCTGCAGCAGCTTGCTGTACAAGTACAGGGAAAGATCCAGTCATCTCAGTCATCTCTGAATCTGACAAAATTGTATAAGGTTGTCAATAAAACTTTTCATGAAAATGACTGTGACAAGTTAGGGCTCATTTACAAAATTATAACACATTCACTGATGGGTTGTGTAACTGTATCACAAACTGCAGAAAGGCACCAATTAAAATATGAAAAGGCGGCCATAATTGGTCAAAAGAAAGAGGTGTATATTAAAGGCTTTCACAGCGCACAACCAAACTCTAATGTCACCTTTGCTGATTTGATGCTGGTGTTCTTTTTCTTTAATAGGCCTCAGTAGAGCCACCAAACCAGTCAGTAGAACTGCCTTCACATCATAATGCTTCAGGTCTAAGATGAGTTTAATGGCTGTCAAAGATATAAAGAGACAAAACCAGAAAAGCTGATTAATAATAACAGGATCGCAATTTTTCATCCACAATCACAATGGCTAATGGAATGATTTGTTATTTCACAGGATACAAAGAAATTTCAGGATAAATTTAAAAATTAGCGTGTCAGCTTACCTTCATCCTGAACTTCCAGGTGTAGGGATCTGAGTGTGTTAAGCAGAGGCTCTACAATGCTGTAATGGGCTGTTTTCATTTTTCGCTGCAAAAGAAAAAATGTTAAAAATCAGTTCTGCAACATACAGACTGACTGCAGTAACATACAGCTTTGTGCATACTCTGTAAAATGGCCTGTATTTGTATAGCGCTTTACTAGTCCCTAAGGACTCCAAAGCGCTTTACACAACCAGTCATCCACCCATTCACACACACATTCACACACTGGTGATGGCAGCTACATTGTAGCCACAGCCATTCTGGGGCACACTGACAGGTGGCTGGCTTCACCTGGATGATACATAAGGTGTGCAGAATAAGCTGCAGGGATTTAGGTGAGCTACAAGTCATGCAGGTAATCAGATATTTGTAGACTTGGTCCTGATATCTGGGATTTCCGTGGGACAGGGACTCCAAAAGGACCGACGCTGCCTCTTTGGTTTCATCTCTGTTTGATGTGGACAGGCACTCGCCTATGACTTTAACACCTGGAAACAAAGCAAAAGAAGCATTACTGATAAAATAAACTATATTGTAGGCTGTTTTAAAATCTGATCTAAAATCTAAAATAAATTTACATATGCCACAGACAAATGTGAAATTTACCGTGACTTTCACAGATGATCTCCTTGTACTTGCGACCTGCTTTTGAGACAGTGAGTAGAAGTTTGATGGCTCCGGCCTTGTCATCATCTTTGCTCTGAGAGTGGCTCAAAATGTCCAGCAGAGTGAGAACTCCCCCATCCTCCAGGAAGTTCATCAGATACTGATCACTGATCAAATCAGAAAGATGGTTTATTGAAAGAAAACATCTGTTGGCCTAAAGATATTTTTGCAGATTACAGTCCCGCATTTTGGGTCACTTACTGACAAGAAGCAGACAGGAAAATCCCAAGTGCTTTCAGCTGAAGTCCCAGGAAGGTGCCTAACATGTATCTGAAGTATTAGTAAAGGGTTGTCCAGTTGCAGGCACATTCTGAAAACTTTATTCTGATATTTTATGCTAGAATATATTCAGCACCATTTGGCTGTATGTGTATAACAAAAAATATGTTTTATGATTTAAATGTGTTGTTTTCACATGTTATGCAGGCCCCTCAAAATCAAGATAGTCCCAAACCCGTGCAGATTTAACCAGCAGACGACTTAAATTAAGCCTCATTTAAGTTTTCAAAGTAAATCCTGCAGGACTTAGGCAAGGAAACACGAATCCCACTACTATTTGGAAATAGTTACACCCCACCCAGGACACGTTTTTTGAGCTGTACAAAAAATATATGTCCAAAACTAACAGTTTTCCTAGACCACGGCTGAATAAAGGATACGTGAGCTTCATCCATGTGGTAAGTCGAGCTAGGAAGAGACTGGCGACCTGCGCAAACTCCAGCTCCAGCTCATAAAACGTCTTCCCCGTGTTTTGAGTCACAAAGGTGCTCAACATGCGACCGCGGACCCTCATGTCACCGCGGTCCCATTCCCGAAGAAAGCTGAGAACTTTGCCGATGTTAGCTTGTTGCTCTTGTGTTGACATCGTTTTGTTGCCTTGCTTATCGCTGGTAAACCGAAATTAAGCAACAGTGAAGAAGCAGAGCCAGAAATCTGAATAATTATCCAGAGATACAGAATAACATCTTAAATTCAGAGGCTTGATTTTGGTAGCTTTCTTCCTCTATCTCTGGTTTGCTGCTGCTAACTCGCGGTTGCTTAGTAACGGCCACACACTGGCACCCGGAAACTTGGTGGGAGGAAAATCAGAAGAACTTCTGACACTACTGCCGCGAAAGACAACTAGGAGTGGAGTTGACATCTTTAACACGGTGAAGGGGTTTTTCGCGGAGAAAAAGGTACCTTTGGAAAAGCTGGTATCGCTGACTACCGACGGAGCTCCTGCTATGATCGTCAGACATACAGGATTCATCGCTCACTGTAAAGGTGACACAGAGTTCCCAAACTTTATGCATTACCACTGCATCATTCACCAGCAGACGTTATGTGCAAAGGTGATCGGCTTTGGGCACGTCATGACTCCCATCATGAGTGGACACTTGACCTTGCATTTTTAAGGGACATTACTGGGAAACTGAACCATACGAAGCAAAGGTAGGACTGTTGCTGACATGATGCTTTAAATGCATTCTATCACTTGTACTGTGCTGTAATTAATAAACTAACATGTGTTATTATCCAGATGTTACTGCAGGAAAAGCATTTTTTCGCAGATCAATGTTGAAGCTACAGTTTAATAACGAAGGTTTGCATCTTTTCGCTGTAACATATGAAATGTATCACAATAACGTTTATTGAACTGTGTATTTGCTATAAGACCTATTAAAGGTCTTTTATATATCGTCTCCATCGCTTACGGCCATACCACCCTGAACACGCCCGATCTCGTCTGATCTCGGAAGCTAAGCAGGGTCGGGCCTGGTCAGTACTTGGATGGGAGACCGCCTGGGAATACCAGGTGCTGTAAGCTTTTTCGCTTCTACACACAAACCGCAGAGGGCGCTGCTGCTCAATCAGTGGAGACAGCTTCAGTAAATACTCACTGATAACATTTCTAAAACTTGGAAAATGCTGACTTTTAAAAGCTTCGTAACAGGTTTCTTCAGGCCGGTTCTCTGGTTGTGAAAGTCCAGCGACAAAAAGGATCCTCATTTTTTCCTAGAGAACATTGAACAAATGTATTTTTCTTTTTTAGATCTATAGTTTATTCATTTGACCTACATTTGGTATGACATTTTAAAGAGTTTTACCTTTGTGACTTCGAAATATTATCTTATATATTATACTTAAAGATTTTATCTAAAAATATACATATTTAACTTTATTATAATGATTTTATTTCAGACAATGTGATGTAACTTGATACAAATAGTTGTTTTCTGTCTGACAGAACAGGAAGCATCAACTTCATAGTAGCTATTTGCATAATTAAGACATCAACTATAAGTGTTCCCTAAATTTCCTGCACACATGAAGAATTCCCATTCCTCATATGTGCCATGTTGTCTGCAAACCTGACAGTTCAAAAAATCCTGTGTTGATTAAGGATGGTAGTTATTTCCTGAAACAGAGAGCACTCACCTCAAACCACGGCTTGGGCTCTCTAGCCAGTCTCCTGGATAGAGGGTGGACTCTGTCTCAGTCTGGAGTTGCCCCTGGTGAAAGGCGGCGGGCTGGGGTGGGTATCCTATTATCCCCTCGGCTTGCTGCCTGTACGTTGGGGTTTCTCCCAGTGGACGAGAGGGTTTGTTCCCTGGGCCTTCAGGTTGGGGAACAGGCCCTGACTGTCATCTGCGCTTGTGCACTGAATGGAGGTCCAGAGTACCCAGCCTTCTTGGAGTCCCTGTGTGGCGTGCTGGAGGGTGATCCACCTGGGGACTCTGTTGTCCTGCTGGCAGACATCAATGCTCATGTGGGCAATGACAGTGAGACCTGGAGGGGTGTGATCGGCAGGAATGGCCTCCCGGATCTGATCTGAGCAGTGTTTTGTTTTTAGACTTCTGTGCAAGCCACAGTCTAGCCATATGGAAAAGCAAGTTCGAACATAAGAGTGTAATCAGTCCATTTGAGGATTCAGGGGTGACCCTGAATCCTCCCTTAGCTATGCTGCAATAGGTGTAGGCTGCTGGGGAATTCCCATGATGCATGAGTATTTCTTCTTCAGTCACCTTTCTCACTCACTATGTATTAATAGACCTCTCTGCATTGAATCACACTTGTTATCAATCTGTGTCCCTCTTCCACAGCATGTCTTTCATCCTGTCTTCCTCCCCTCACCCCAAGGTCACGGCAGATGGCTGGCCCTCATGCATTATTGTAGGGTCTACCTTACAATATAAAGTGCCTTGAGGCAACTGTTGTTGTTGTTTGGTGCTGCTTAAATGAAATTGAATTGAAATCGAATCAGCAGCTCACAGTCCCAAACCAGGTAGCAAAGACATAGTTCTTACATGGCTTCATCAATTCTGTGAACTGCATACTTATAAAAAGAGTTTTCACTTTGGCAAGTGGGATGGTTTTCTGGAAATTGTATGAAAAGATTTGCAATTTCAATATAATAAGACAGACACTAGCCAGAAGCCATTTTGAGAATGCAGTGGGGAGAGGTGAAAGTGATTTTAATCTTCCTTGTATAGACGTATTGGAAATGCAAACATTTGATTGGAAAGGTATTATTTTAGACTCAGAGGAAAGATTCATACAGCAAGTCAGTGAAAAGTAATTTTTGGAGAGCCATAGGTTTACACAAATGGGAAGAAATCTTTAGTTTTGTTTTTTTTTACCTGATAAATATCTTGACATGTTGACTGCAATCAGATGACACATGAGTGTGCAAATGACTGAGGTCTGGATGCAAAGCTTGGAGGTTTGAATTCAGAGAGGATGACTGTGAGCATAGATGGTCTCTATGTTATATAGATACAGTCTGTGTTGTTTAGGCCTCATTACTATGCACATTTTCACTAGATATTAGAACAACATTAAGAAAAAATGCCTTTGATTATTTTGAGAATAAAGTCAGAATTTTGAGATTAGAGTCAAAAATGTATTTCGAAAAAAAAGGTTGAAATGTGAGGATTACCCTTGTTGTCCAAAGACATACTGCTATGGCTGCTATACCCTCTATAAAATGCCTTGTTTAGGCGAGTTATTGAAACAAATTGATCAGCTGTTTTGTCATACAGCATACATCCCCTTGCATTAATCGATGTAACTATCGATAACCTTTCTGTCTGTCCATTACAAGCCATTTTCTTGTGTGCAAATTCATTCTTCAACAATTGTGTGTTTTTCCATCCAGATGCAGTTTTCTGCACCATCTTATCAATGTTCTTATACTGATCACCACATTGTGTTTACATGCTAATAGAGAAATCATTTCCTTCCTGTTACCAAAACCGATTCTGAAGTACAATTTCACTCAGAGGATACAGCAACCATGGCAGTTTGTAATCTGTAGTCTCCACATTTAAACTTTTTTCTTGAAATACTATTTCAACTTTTTTCTCAATTATTTTTTCTTATTGTGGCCCTAATACTCGTTTGTACACCTTCAGGGAATTATTCAGATGTAGGAGGAGCACTGGAATTAACAGGAGTACTTGAGTGCTTCCCAATTGATAGTGAAAAAAATTAAATCAGGTGTCATTTCCCCTTTTTGTGTTTCACAACTTGTGATTACACTTTTGTTTATTTATTACTCTTTTAATTATTTCTTGGCTTTTTTTCTTTTACTTTATGATTTATGATCTATTAGCTGCGTCAAGCTCAATGTTCCTCTTTGTGGAAATGTTTTACCCAAACGCTGATAGCTCAATTTCCATATTTTTCCCATAAACCCCATTTGTAAGCATGAAAGCTTCCTGTTCACTGGGGGTTTCTTTACCAGATGTGTTAGCCATGCTCATAATTGTCTGATTTTATCTAGCATGCTCAAGTCTCCTATAGACCCTGAATACAAACAGGCATGGGATTCTATTTTTGACACCAAGCTTGTTGTGGAAATCTGAAATAAAATGAGGTGCACACAACCATGCTGTTTTCATTTGCTTATTTAACTTTGGGGGTCAAACAACAGTACAGACAGCACGTCAGCAGAATTACAAGCACAGAAACATATAAAGTTACAAGTTATCTACATCCCATGGTCATAAAATACATTTAGAACATTGTAATAAAAGATAACTTGAACATCAACACTTGCTGTAATTGAAAGAATCCATGGTGACAGAATAAAGTGATAAGGAGCTTTAAATTCAATTAGGTCAGCTTGACAGAGCGAAGTAGCAGAATCTTTTTAATTTTCACTTTTGGTTACATCGACAGAGCAATCAGGAATGCTTAAATTACACCTCTGAGAATGTTGTCGATCCATTGACGGTATTTTGAGATGTCCGTATAGACATTGGGTACATCTGGGTATTTGCAGTTTAAATTTTTGTTGAAAGAAACAACACCAACTGCGAACCCGTTGCAGACCAGAGGACCACCGGAATCTCCCTGTGAGGAGGACATATTTTAATTTTGTCAGTTTATATTAAGTGTTTTATATATTTTGCAAAACTTAATTAGTATATATTGAAAGGACAGAAAACATACCTGACAGAATCCTTTATTTGTTCCATAGCCACCTGCACAGATAACGTTGTCTGGAAGATCAGGCCAGTTTTTCTTACAGATTTTATGTTGAATGACAGAAACATTCACCACTCTCAGCTCATTAGGTAGAGTGTAATTTTCAGTGAAACCCCATCCAGCCACCTGGCACACTTCATTTTCTTGTAGTCTTATTTCAGCATGTGGAAGCTGAATTATCTGTGCTTTGTGTTGAACTTTCCCAGATAACTGAAGACACACAACATGAAGGGAAAATTAGAAATGTCTGTTTTCATCCAGTAACTCTTTTGCTGTGATGTAATTTGAATTATAACGCCACAAATATAGGGTCTTATAATTCATGTGAAACTGTTACAACTATGAATATGTACTTACTTTAAGGAGCATGATGTCATCACCATATTGAACATTTCTATAATTTTCAAACTTGATGGATTTTTTAATCTCTATTTTTTCATGATGGTCGTTGAGATTGTGGCTTCCAAGAACAACGTGTGTAAGGTTCCTGAAGAAGTAATCAATGAGACTTGGTCAGTACATTTTATAAAAGCGTACTGACCACAAAAGACGTTGGATTACTTACAACTTACTTACTCATTGTCACAGTGTGCAGCAGTGACCACAAAGTCTTCAGCAATGAGAAATCCTCCGCATATATGACCATGTTTGTTCTGCACTGAGGCCATATAAAGCATTGAGTTCTTTGCTGCCTTTTCCCCATGTATAATATCACTTCCATGCCCTAAAAAAGTAAAACCAAAATTAAGTTAATGTCCCAACAAATGGTTGGAAATTGATAACAAAGACTTGCAGTTCTTACCGAGGCATGCAAGAAGATGGAACAGTAGAAGTTTTTGCAGACCGTGCATGATGTTAGCCAAACGGTGAACTGTTTCTGGTAGGAGCATCAAGGAGACCTTTTTATAGGGCGTTTTGCCTTGTTGGTAAGTATGATAATAATCACTCTCATTTTGACTTTGAACCACATCCTTTTCATCCACCCAGGCCACCCCCACTTTGAGAAATGTGAGAAATGTTGCGAATGTCTTTTTTGTGTTTTATTATGGATGCGTAAAACCAAGAAAAAAAAACCTTACAGTACATCCGATGACCAAATGCTGATCAAACAACTTTTTTAAGGAGCCAAATTTTGTGTGCTTTCTTTCCCAGGCAAGCTTACATATCAGCTCAGAAAGTGAAAGTGTAACACAATACAGAAACAGTGTAATTACGATACCTTTTTAAAGTCTCACCTTTGCAAAACAATATTTTTTAACTGAGTTTTAACTTTGTGGATACTATACCATCACAAGAGCAACTAAACACCCTGCTGCTGGTGACCTTCTACAGATCCACCATCAAGAGCCTGCTCACCTATGCAGTGACAGTGTGGCATGCCAGCTGCAGACAGGAAGAGACTGCAGAGGGTGGTAAACACAGCGCAAAAAATCATCCTTGTCTGCCATCTATAACTCCCGTTGTCTCAGCAGGGCCAGAAACATCTTGAAGGGCAATACCCACCCCGGCTACCATCTTTTTAACCAACTACCCTCTGGCAGGCGCTTCAGATCCTTACAGGCCAGAACAAACAGACTCAGGGATAGCTTCTTCCCCAAAGATATCACCATACTCAACTAAAACTTGCACAAACGTAATTTGCACTTCAGTATCTGCACTGACTGTATCATCGTTCTCTGGCGGTCTGTTTGTGTTACTTGGTGCTGTGTATTTATATTATATTTATTGTTATATTATTGTATAGTTTTTTAGAATGCGCTAAGCACATGTGCACTATGGAGCTGTTTTAAATCTTGTTATAATTTGTATAATGACAATAAGGACTTTCAATTCAATCACAACTGGTATTTATATTGAGGATTTTCCTAAACAAATAACTAAAAAAAAACCCCCACCATTATTCGCTGGAATAGATCAAAGCTGCTGAACCACATTTGAATTCTGTGATGAATTGTTTTTCAATCAGGGAAATCACAATTACCAGATTTATGAATTTCATTGTTGTCAGTTACAGCAATAAAACTACTGCATTCACGCTATTAATAAGTAAAACAGCAACTGATACATATAGATAAGAGTCGAGCATTATCGCTCATCTGTTAACATGCTAACTGAACACATCAAGTTTAACTGGCTATAAAATGTTGCTGATAAGTCTGACTTTCAACAAACAACCACATGCACATCAAAGAAATACAGCATAATAAAAAATAATATTAATAATAATACATCCATCCATTCGCGTCCGCTTATCCTTTTCAGGGTCGCGGGGGACGCTGGAGCCTATCCCAGCTGTCATAGGGCGAGAGGCGGGGTACACCCTGGACAGGTCGCCAGTCTGTCGCAGGGCCAACACACAGAGACAGACAACCATTTGCACTCACATTCACAGCTATGGGCAATTTGGATTAACCAATTAACCTATCCCCACTAAGTGCATGTCTTTGGACAGTGGGAGGAAGCCAGAGTACCCGGAGAGAACCCACACAAACATGGGGAGAACATGCAAACTCCACACAGAAAGACCCTGGCCTGATGGTGGAATTGAACTCAGGACCTTCTTGCTGTGCGGCAACAGTGCTAACCACTGTGCCTAATAATAATAATACAGATACTCACATATATATACAAAGTTTTATATATATTGCATGTGGGTTAAAACTGCAACACTCTATTGATATTTATTTATTGTTTGCATTATTTTTCATTATTTTATTTTGGCTCATATTCTGTCCAAAGTTTCTAAGACTTTTGACATCTTTTGGCATCGGACTCTGCACTGCTTCACATCAACAGAACCTGAACTCAAGCCACTGGTTCCCTTTCAGCACAAGTCTGAAGGGCAGCCTGAACCTGCTTTGTGCCACACACACCCCCAGCCTGCACCGTCTGGTCCTGTTGCGTCATAGGTTTCCGTACTGTCTGGTCCTGCTTCGCCCAAGCCAGTGGTCTGGACTCCTCTCGAGTCAGTGGTCACTGCACAGTCTGGACCTGCTTCGCTCAAGGGTCTCCGTTGACCTCCTGGGGGGTGCAATCTTTGCGGCCACCATCGGCCTCCAGTCCTGTTGCCCGATGGTTTTTGTCATCATTGTCAGCCTCCAGACCCAGATCTGCTCCGCCTTCATTGCTGGCCTCCTGGTCAGCTTCCAAAATTGCTCTGTCTTCGCCAGTGGCCACACTTTTGGCCTCCTGAACTGTTAGTTCTTTGTTTTGGTCTCTAATGCTCCTGTTTTTCTTTGTGTTCACTCAAAACACAAAAGATGAACCTTTTGCGAAACAGTCTGTTTTGCTGGTAAGTATGATTATTATCTACAATATTTTGATTTCTAACCACATCCTTTGTTCAAGTTAAGTTTGCACACTTGTGTTGCATGATCATAATCATAGTGCCACATCAGTCTGAAGGACAGACATGCTCGTCCATCATTATTTGCTGCTTATTTTTAGTTTAACATTTGAAATTTAAGACACTTTAGGCCTCCCGATTTGTTTCATTCAATATCCTTTTTGGCCTCCTGGTCAACTGTAGGTACAAATCAAGTGACTTTGGATACTTTTAACGAGTGGAAACTCAGATGTAAAGACTTTACTGTGGAAATCAAACTTTGTCAGTATGATTAAGTGGCTATTTTGGATTATACATCATTGCCAGTGACTTTTGTGACTTTCTTCTTTGCTTTTTTCTCTTATTTTCTGCATCTTTCAATGACGAAGCACAGAAACCAGTTTCCTGCTTCAGTTCTATCATCAGACTCATTGGTTTTCCATTTACACATAAATGGCTAAGATATGACTTAACGGAAGCAATGCACGTCATTGGAGTCAAGTCAACAATAAATTTTGCATCCACCAAGGTCCATCCATCCATCGTCATCCGCTTTGTCCGGGGTCGGGTCGCGGGGGCAGCAGCCTAAGCAAAGAGGCCCAGACCTCCCTCTCCCCAGCCACCTCCTCCAGCTTGTCCGGGGGAATACCAAGGTGTTCCCAGGCCAGCCGAGAGATATAATCTCTCCAGCGTGTCCTGGGTCTGCCCCGGGGCCTCCTCCCGGTGGGACATGCCTGGAACACCTCACCCAGGAGGCGCCCAGGGGGCATCCTTGTCAGATGCCCGAACCACCTCAGCTGGCTCCTTTCGATGTGGAGCAGCAGCTGCTCTACTCTGAGCCCCTCCCGGATGGCCGAACTTCTCACCCCCAGCCACCCTTCGGAGGAAGCTCATTTCTGCCGCTTGTATCCGCGATCTCGTTCTTTCGGTCACTACCCACAGCTCGTGGCCATAGGTGAGGGTAGGGACGTAGATCGACCGGTAAATTGAGAGCTTCGCTTTTACACTCAGCTCCCTCTTCTCCACCAAGGTCTTCAAGGTTATCTTGGTTATGTAATGGTTGAAAACTGACAAAAGCCTTATAGTATAGTGTGTACTGGCAACATATAGACATATGTGGAAGCAAACTACAATGTGTTTAAAAGTTGTTTATTCCAAGATTTTTGGATTTTCTTTCCTCTGGTTTTTCACATACATTGATTGACCTGTAGTTTAACTATACTCACAAGTAAAGAAGGCAGATGTCAGGCTTGACACAGCTGAATGGCATTATCTTTGAGATCTGCAGCAAACTAGATGAACCGCAGACACTACAGGATCCAGATAAGCTATTGCTTGTAGAACATGTACGTAAACTGTTCTTTGCACACACATTTGCTGATTTCTCATGCATTTAGTCTTTGTACTACTAGTCTGACTATATTATTATTTTGCATTTGTTTTCCTATAAAATCTTTAGCTGTAGTACATGATGCATATAATCTATTGCTGTATAGTTCAAATCTCATTGGCCTGTGGACAGAGTGTCTGCCGTTCAGCCATTAGAAGATGCTATTCAACAATTTAGCTCACTGAAATGTCTGATAAAGCTTTCAGCAGAGGTCTGTATTTCTGAATTTAAAAAGTTCATGTCAAATGCTAAGTCATTACCTTACCTCATCCAAATGTCATCCATTATTGTCATTCTTAGATAAGAACTGATTTCACTCTTGTCACCCTTGTCCACATGCTGAATCTCTTAAGGCTGTATCCCTTGTACTTTGTCACGTTGTTAAGGAGACTAGTGTAAGGTCATTCAGATTCTCAGCTCACCGTTCTTCTCTTTTCCTAAGTTCTTATTACTTCTCATACCCAGCTCAAGGACAAGAGGTCAGGAAAAGACGATGGGAAGGATTTCTGGAATGTATCCTATATTAAATGTTTTTGTTCTTTCTTGACTGTTTAAAACGTTTGTCCTACAGCAACCACCATAGATAAAATTATGCACTGGAATTTCGAGAGATTAAGTAAACAGACATCCAGAGGTGACGTTTTTACACACTGTAACTTTGTCATAAGGATGGACCCACACCCTGAGCATTGGGAAAGGTTTAATACGTTTATTTACAAGCTGTGAATAAAACAGAATGGCACTGTCGGTGATATGGTGAGATTGAGGCTGAGTACATTATCCGGCTGACACGAAGATCTGCCCACATCTAAGTGTGTTCTTCAGTCTTAAAAAATCAGCTTCTGTTCCTTTGATAAGCAGATGAGTTAATCAGCAGATTGATTAAGTAGAGAAACCGATAGCGGAACAGAAGAAGATGTTTTTGGCTTTTCTTTTTACACATTGGTGTAAAAAAAGTTGTTTTTAACGAGCCTTCTCTTTTTTACATCACTTCTCAGAAGAGACATTTCCAGGCTAGCTTGGATATCAGATCAGAAAGTGAATGTTCTTAGTTCTTACCTCGCCTTTTACCTTCGAAGAAAATGTTTACTATCACAACTTAATTTTAAATGGACAACTTTTTCAAATGAAGAGCATAAGAAGAAACAACATTATTCATTTGCATAGGCCAAAGCTACCAAAACACATGTGATTAGTGTAATAAACTGTTTTTGAATCAAAGAAACCACAGTCACCAGATACCGGTCATGATGTCAGCATTCTCACGGAGATGAAAACACTGCATTCACACTGGCTAATGACTAAAACAACAATGGCTTGTTAATAACTAGTGCAGTTACATTTACTCCATAGCATATAGCAGATAAGAGTCATATTATCTCACATCTTTCAATCTAATTGAACATGTATAAATGCCTAGAAAATGTTGCTGACTAAAAAAAACTTGCTTTAGACAAACAGCCACAAGTACAGCAGCAAATGCAGATACATGCATATTCACAAGGTGTTAGACATATTGCATGTTCTGCGTGCAGAACTAAAACATTACTGAGATACCGAATTCATATATGCATGGTTTTAGTATTAGGGCATTTTATATTTTGGCTCATATGTGATCCATGTTTTCTGAGACTTTTTTTGGCTATTGTCACAGGTCTTAGGTTGAAGCAATTTTCTTTTTGTATTTATAGCAACGTTTTGCTTTTTAAAGTGGAAAAAACTAAAGCCTTTGGCCTGTTCCTTGGATGTTCGCACAGCAAAGTTCTCCAAAAAAGTTTTGAAAATGACATGAGTAAGAGAAAATACAGTTTCAAGCTTCAGGTTTTATTTTTTGCTTTTGGACTCACTGTAATGCCAAAATGCTTAAAGAGATTTAATCATTCCTGACACCTGACAGTGTAACAGAACATCTTGACTCAGGATTACATTTCTCTGCATGAAATGAATGTAAATGATATTCATATTGAAACATGAAATACTGCAGTAATCTCACAGAGGAGGTGCTGTTGGTTGGTGTCAAGAAGGAAGAGTTGGCTATCATAGTGTGAGAGGGAAGGTACATCCTGGACAGCCTGCAAGTTGGTTGCAGGCGTAACACAAGGAGACAGAAAACCATTCACTGTAAAATCTAAAAGCATCAATTAAGCAAACAAGTGTGTCGGTAAACTATGAGAGAAAACCTCGGCCAACAAGGAACTTTAAACCCAGAACCTTCTTTCAGTAAGTAAATGGTTCTCACCACACACACTATTCTGATCTCACACCAAACTCTCCATTTTCTTGTTTCTGACAGATGTGAAAAGATAATTGAACGCTGCCCCCTAATGGTGAAAATCTAGCTCTGATTACAGCAAAAACTCCCATTGAGGTCTAACAAAATGATCATGACTGGTTGGAGCCCAGGGAAGGAAGGTAGGACAAAAGATGCACTGTGGAAGAGAGCCAGAGATTAGTAGCATTTCTTTTTCTTAAGAATGGGTTTGATCCAAGAAAGGAATTTTGATATGTCTGTATAAACGTTGGGGACATTCGGATAGTCACAGATTTTGTCGTTGTTAAAGGAAACGACACCAACTGCCAAATTGTCACACACCAGAGGGCCACCAGAGTCACCCTGTGAGGAGGAAATATTATTATTTGATTTGCCCATCAATCATCAATCTTTTTTTTAATATCATAGGTTGTAGATAGAAAAAAAGTTACCTGACAGATTCCTTTGTTTTTAAAGTATCCACCTGCACAAATAACTTTAGCCGGAAGCATATTCTGCCAAACACTCTGACACCTGTCCTTGTTAATGATGGGGACATCCACCACTTGCAGTTCGTCAACACTTTCACCGTTACTTTTTATGGCCCCCCATCCAGCTACACTGCAGGTTTTGTTTTCCTTTAGATTAATTTTTGGATGTGGAAGTTTAATTGGCTTAATAACTTTGTTTCCTTCCAGGCGAGCTTTCCTGGACAGCTAGTGGCAGAAAATAAGGAATGAGATAGAAAAGAGAATACTTAAGGCAAATTTAATAGGGTTTAAATCCAAACCATAACAGAGTGTCCACATGTGTAGCTGGTCAGTTGAATAACCAATATGTACTACAATACATAATCATCACTAACATTTAGTATACCTATTAATGTGCAACACATTGTTAAACTAAATAAAAACATGTTTGTTTTGTATCACATATATTGCAAAAGGCAAGCAATAAGGAACTTTCTTTCTTTCATGTGCTTTCCCATGAGTAATACATCCAGGCTTCACACATGGCTTGCTGAAATGCATAAAATTCATTTCATATCCAGTTCTTATACCTCATCATTTTCAGAACATTTCAGGTTTTTAGAGTTCTTTTTGAACAGTGACGAGAATAATGCAATTTGACAGGCATAAAATGGTATTTGTGCACCAACATGGTGACTGTCAAACAGCTACTAGCCAACACTTGGCTAAAACAAAAACAAAAGACAAATTCTATCTATATAGCATCAACATAACATATGCATACAGGACCTAAGAGATGCATGTCTATGAGATTCAGGAGTTATCTACTTACTTTGAGAAGCATGATATCATTTCCAGATAGAACATCCTTAAAAGAATGTTTGCACATCTTCACATCATATCTCATTGTGTCATCAACCTTTTTGAGATTGTGAGTGCCCAGAACAACACTTGTAGGATTCCTACATTAATGATAATACAGAAATTGAACGTTTATGTTTTGATGAATTTGAGGTTGCATGAAGAGTTTTGATTACTTACTTGGGAGCACAGTGCGCTGCAGTCATTACAAAATATTCACTGACAAGGAAACCTCCACATATATGTCCATTGTTGTCTTGCACTGATGCCATATACATCATCTGCTTTTTCTCAGCCTTTCTACCTTTTATGATTTGACTCCCCAGTGCTGAAAGCAAATGTGCAAAATTTAAAAGCAACACACTTTTGCACATCTGTAAGAAATGGATAAAAGCTTACCATTATGTCTAAGAAGCGTCAAAGTTTGAAAGAGCAGAAACCCTTGCAGAGCGTGCATGATGCATGGAAGTCGGGTGAAAAATCTTTCAGGGAGATAGTTGACCACTTTATGCTTTACCTTGCACTCTGTCTGTGGTTTGTGGTTTTTGGGGTTGTTTTCACTTCCTGTCTTCTCAACGTTCATTTCATATGTTCACACAACATTTGAATCACTCTTTATGCTCTTAGAACTGAAAAAGCTTTTTGGATGAGTGGTGAAACGTCTTCAAGAAACTGGAAGTCCTGATGCTTTTCTTTCCGAGCTCCAGCTTAATTAACAGAGTGATGTAGACTAAATGCTATCACGTGTACATGGAGATATATGTATACAATCAACACACACAGAAGTACTTTGTGCAGGATCCCTGATACATCTAACTCACAAAATATAATTAAAAGCACTGTTTTGTTGGAGCGCACGTGCAGAAGCTCCATGATCATTTCTAACAGACTGAAAAACAGGTATGCAGGAATCAAGATATCCAGAAGAGCAGTACGGTTAGCAAACATGGCAGTTTTTGTAGTTGTGTAATGACCTATTTTCATGGTCCTATTTGTGTTATGCACGTGTATATTGATGTTTGTGCAAAGCAGGCCAAACCAGATCGTCACACAACCACAACATATTTTACTTTCTGTATTATTTTTCTTTTTTGAAATGCTGTTTTATGCCAGAGAGTAATGGTGCACACACCTTCCAAAATTTAAACTTTTGTCTCATTATTCCACAAAGTATTTGTCCAATCTTTCAAGTCTTGGGGATCATCAAGATATGTTTTAGCAAATGTCTCTTTGGTCAGCAATGGTTTTCTCCTGAACTGTCCCATGGATGCCATTTTTGCCCAGTCTTTTTTAAAGTTTAATCATGAACTGAGCTTGACTGAGACACGTGAAGCCTGAGGTTCTTTAATGTTGTTCTGGGTACTTTTGTGACCTGGATAATTCATGGATGTGCGCTTGGAGTAATTTTGGTAGGCCGGTCACAGAGTTATCAGTGACTTTGTTTCTCAAGTGTTTCTTTAGATTGCTGTATGAAGTGTTGCTTATTGAGTTCTCTTAGCTTGCTTTGATTTGTCACATGGGTTCTATTGAACTGAGTTCTTGATTTACCAAGTCTGCCAGTAATTGGGCCTGAGTGTGTTTAGTGAAACTAAACTAAAAAAATGTGGTTAATCACAGTTGACTTATTTTTAACAAAAGGGGCATTTTCATTTTCACACAGGACCAGGTAGATTTGGATAACAATTCTTCTTTATTTAATAAAATAATCATTTACAAAGAGCATTTTATGTTTACTCTGGTTATTCATTCATTCATTCATTTATCTTCTTCCGCTTATCTGGGGCCGGGTTGCGGGGGCAGCGGCCTTAGCAGAGAAGCCCACCTCCTCCAGCTTGTCCAGGGGAACACCAAGGCCTTCCCAGATGTTCTAAGGCCAGCCGAGAGATATAATCTCTGGTCCTGGGTGTCCTGGGTCTGCCCTGGGGCTTACTATCATTTTATATAAATTCACAGAACTGCATTCGGAGTCTGCGTTTGAGTCCTGCCTGCTCTCGGAGTATGACAACCACCCAGTGATCCAAAACTGGACCATTCATATCTATAAACATTCTAAAAGCATGCGGATGTACAAATTACCACAGTACAAAATTAGTTTACAACAATGCTCTATACATTCTTTTAATCAACTTGGTGATATGCAGTTAGAGCACTGTTGTGAACAAATTTTAAAAAACACATTACTCCTTCAGCAAAATTACATCCTTAAGATGCAGTCGGTACTTTTTCTAAACTATTTTAGTGAAATGCATAAGAGATTAAATGACTGCCAGATTTGATTACTATGTGAGCCGTGATGCATTTATTTCTCATATCACCATGACAAGCAGAAACAGTAGTTCCTACCAATCATTTAGACAATCTCAATAATATAGCTAATTTCCACTGTTTTCCTGTCAATCATAAACTTCTAATTTACCACAAATTATTTTAATATCAATATTTTAATATGAGAATTGATTCTAGAACGTATTTTATATAGGAAAAATTGGTATCAATCTGTACACCACTAGATGGCATCAATACTAATAACATTTTGATCTGATCTGCCCATCACTAGCATTGCAGATTACAGTTTGTTTACATTAGTGTCTCTTTTACGGTTATTGCTGTTGCTCACTCAGCAGTCATGTACACATTGAATATTCATTAGTATTTAGTTTGTTTCTCATTAGCCGCCAAATATATTGCAAAAATAAAGCTTTCACTATTGATTATTTGACATCTCACTCTCACTCTGTGAAATAGTTCCAGTCAGTGTAGCAGTGTAGATGTACTTTCACTACTGTGGTGACACATACTGGTCTCTAAAAGACGTCACTTTAATCTTATGGAAAAACAGCAACATCTTGAAATGGTAATGGTGATAACCTTAATACTACTATATGTTGCTTATTCTTCATGTGACACCAAATTATTGTTATTGTTTTAATGAAATATTTCCCTTCTGATATTGTTACTAATAAAACCAGACCGTGGACTAGCAGATACAATTTTTATTTCTGTTTTTGGTCACACAAAGAAAATGACAGCAAAATGAAGCAGTACAGCAGAAAAACAATTGTAGTTTTACAAATAACTATTTGGGTTTTTCAGAATTGCATTGATCCACAGGAGGTATTTTGAGATGTCTGTATAAACATTGGGTGCTTTAGGGTAGTTACACTTGCCTTTTTTAAAAGAAACAATACCAACAGCTAATCCTGCGCACACCAGAGGACCACCTGAATCACCCTGTGAAAAGGAAGAATTTTAAGGTGTTTATACATTTGACAACGAGAGACCAGTTATTAATTTCAGTGAAAGGAAGAAGAAGAAAACATACCTGGCAGAATCCCTTGTGTGTGGGGTAGCCACCTGCACAGATAACGTTGGCGGGAAGACGTATATTTATGACAGAATATTGTTTCTTGCAGACTTTCTTGTTAATGACAGGCACATCCACCACCCTCAGTATATTGGTTAGAGTACCATTTTCCGTTATTCCCCATCCAGTCACTTTGCACACTTCATTTTCTTTTTGGTTTATTTTAGCAGTTGGAAGTCGAATTATTTTTACTATGTCGCTTAGCTGAGCTTTTCTAGAAAGCTGAAGAGATACAAAATCAAATCACAAAGTTAACATTCAAAATTCTTATGCTGTAATGTAACGTAGATAATTAGATCACTCAACTATGTCACTTCAAACTGTTGTACTTACTTTAAGCAGCATGATGTCGTCACCCAGTAAAACATTTAGATAGAATCTAGGCTTGAATTTTTTAATGATACTTATTTTTTGGCCTTTGTTGAGATTGTGGTTACCGAGAACAACGTGCGTGGGGTATCTGAAGCAAAGATTATTGAGAGGCACTCAATACATTTCCTAAACCTGTTAAATGACACGAAGACTGATACTTACTCATTATCACAGTGTGCAGCAGTGACAACAAAGTCTTCGGTGATCAGAAATCCTCCACATATATGACCACTTTTGTTTTGCACTGAGACCATATACAACATTGACTTCCTTGGGACTTTCTCCCCACCAATGATGTCACTTCCACGTGCTTCAAAGAATAAAAAACATGCTAATGCCCATATGAAATGCTTGGAGAATAATGACTAAAAACTGTAATTCTTACCAGCTTGTTTGAGACATGTCAAAACATTGAGTAGCAGAATTATTTGCAGACCGTGCATGATGCCAGGAAAACGGTTCACTTCATTGTAGGCGTGTCAAGATGACACATTTATAGTGCTTCTAACCACATCCTTTATTCAAGATAATTCTGAAAAGTTTGTTAATGCAAAGATTTGCTATGTGAAACACATCGATTATGCTATGTGTATAAATTTATTTAAGTATGTTATACAAATTAATTAATTCATTTTTATCATTCCTAAATGTAAATTGTTGTGTTGTGTTTTAAATTGAATGGGTAATTGGGTGAAAGAATTTAATTAATATGCCAGGATCATGGCAGGGCTGAAGCCACAAAATAAACTAACAAACATATGAAATAAACATAAAAACTGCAAACAAAGACCCCAACCGACCAGGAAGTTTGAACCCAGAACCTGGTTTCAGTAACAGTGCAGAAATTCAGTAACAGAAACAGCTCTCAATGTGGAGCAAACACTGATAACTAAAGACATATACCGGTACATTATATTTAACTTTATTTTAAATTGGGTTTTGGATGTTATAAATAATCAAATGAATTTACATTGTAAACTGAAAAGAAAAACAATACAGTTTTGATGTAAGAGATGTAAGATGAGTAATTAGATACAGAAAAAGAGTAACAACTAATCAAACACTTTGTGCATCACCTTGCTGTCTGTGGTTTCATCAACACTTTTATCTGTTTCTCCTCTGAAAGTTTTCTTTCAGAGAATATCAAAGCACTTCTTTGTGGGTGTTGTTGTTTGCTTCTAGGGGTGTGAAAACTCACCCCTTGGCTTGACAGCCAAACGTGAAACAATGAAACCAGTTTCCAGTTTCACAGATGTTAAACAGTTTTCAAATGTAACTCAATATTTAAGTGTTTCTTACTTGACCCGCTTAGTCGATTAAAAAGTTAATTGCCACGAACACCCCTAATGTTATATAACAGACCACAGAAAA